GCTAGCCCACTGCCAACAACGCTCCGGGTCATGCCCGTCTGTTGAGGGCGGCGAGATGCCGAACCCCTCGGCTCCCTCAACAACCGCCGCTTAACTTCAGCAGGTGGCGAGACACCCAACAGTTATTCCCGCGAAATTACTGCCCTCGATCTGATCGGGGATGGGAAATCCTGGGTACGGTCTTTTGAAATTCACCCGCCACTTGCCAACCCGGCAATCACCGGCTATCATTAAACCTTGGTTTGCGAACATTTGTACGTACACACAGGAAACCGCATCCACCTGCCCTCGGGGGCACTGGATGCCAATGCCTGCAATGTACATCAACACCAGGCGACTCTCCCCCGGCCTTGGCGGTCTGGCCGCTGGCGAGCGGAAATGGGCGGAAATGAGCGGAAATGAGCGGGAAATTGGATATTTTCATTGGGGCGTTTGACGTTCCCGCTTCTTCCTCGATGCGCATTGTGTCCACGTCAGGGTCTCTCCCTGACACCCGGATTTCTGGAAAATTGCACAATAATGCACAGAACGTAACAGTATTTCAGGGGTCCCGCTCTGATATGAACCCGGATTGCGGCCCTCTCCATACGCCACCGCGGCGTAACCGAAGGCACGGTGTGGGCCGACGACCGGCGGGACCAAGTCGGGCCATAAGCAACGGAAATTATCGCAATACCGAAAAGTACAAAGCTGCCGGCGGCTCGTTACCCCACTGCCCGGGCCCGTTGCAATCACGCCGAGCCTACGGTATTTTATGTTGCGATACTGCCACTGAGGAGAGGCGTTGATCACTTACAACTGCACCATCCAGGAAGGGGTAATTCCCGAGGAACAACGCCGGGTCCTGAATGAGCGCTTGGTCCAGATCGGAAGCAACGTATTGGGTGTCGCCTCTGATGACATCTCGGTTAATTACGAGATAATTCCCCACGGATTCGGATTCCGAGGTGGCGAGATATCCTCCTCGTCGTCCGTCAGGAGCCGCATTCCTGACGGTTTTTCCCAGGAAAAGCGGGTGGAGTTCATGACAGCGGTACAGGACATGTGGATTGAAGTTACCGGCCAGACCTCTGCCGAGTTGGTGGTCGGTGCCTCGGATGCCAGCTATAACCCCCACCAGAGCTAGGCCCAGCACCAAGAAGCAGGAGTGAAGCAATGCCTATCTATCGTTTCAAGGTCCCCACGGGTTCCGTACCCTTCGAGCAACGCGAGAGGATCGCCGTCGATGTTACCGACATTCACTGCGGCTCGACCCTTGCTCCCCGCCATTTCGTCCACGTCATGTTTGACGAGCAGCCTGATGGTTCGTCAGAATTTCCCACCCGCTTTTACCTCGACGCCTTTAACCGCGCTGGGCGCCCCCAGGAAGTGAAGGACAAGCTGCTGAGCGACCTGATTAACGCGTTCGTGACGCATACTGGCGTGCCCCGGGACCAGATCAGCGGCCGGTTGGGAGAGGGCCCTGCGTCCTGGGCAATGGAAGGCGGTCAGGTTTTGCCCGAGCCCGGTCAGGAGACCGCCGAGTGGTACGCCGAAGTAACCGCTGACTAGATTTATTGAGGAATGAGAGCTTTGCTGTCAGGTCTGTTCTCCAAGTTTCGCCTCCCCCACACCGCAGTCCTGACGGCAGCTCTTGCCGTCGTGGTCGCTGCAATGCTGGCCTGCGGCGAGGGTCACACCCCTACCGCCTTGCCTGCAACTCCGACGGTTGTTGTAGAGGCCCCTACGGATTCCCCTGCTCCCGTACCCACTGACGTTCCGGCTGTAGCTTCTCTGGAGCTGCCCTCAACGGAACAGCTCGGCGGAGGGTCCCCTGACCTCTTCATCCAGGTCTTCGACGATGGCCGTGCGGGCAGCGACTTTCGCCCCACCAGCGAGTTCGCTGCCGCCGCCCAGCCTCTGGCCGAGGGCGAGAAGCTGAAAGTCGGGATCATTTTTGTCGGCTCCCAGCAGGACCTTGGCTGGAACCAGGCCGCCGCCTCAGGGGCAGACTATCTCGAGCAGGTCTTCGGTGATGTCGAGGTCCTGCGCGCCGAGAACATCCCGGAGACCGTCGAAGTCCAGGCCGTCGCCGAACAGATGATTGAACAGGGTGCGACCATCGTCATCCCCACAAGTTTCGGCTACTCCGATCCCATCAAGGCCATCATCGACAAGCACCCCGAGGTAATGTTCCTCCACCTCGGCGACCTCGAGATTTTCGAGAACTACGGCTCGTTCTTCGCCAACATCTGGCAGTTGGAGTACGCCGCTGGCCGCGCTGCGGGCACCGCCACCACCAGCAACAAGCTGGGGTTCATCGCTGCCTTCCCCATACCTTCCAGCATGCTGAATATCAACGCCTTCCACCTCGGCGCACAGTCGGTCAATCCCGATGTCGAGACCACCGTCGTATTCACCAGCGACTGGTGCGACCCCGGCAAGCAGGTGACCGCCGTCAAGACTATGACCGACGTCGGCGTTGACGTCCTCTCGCTGCAGCAGGATTGCACCAAGACGGTCATCGAGGCTGCCGAGCGTGCCGGGGTATGGGTCACTGGTTTCCACTACGACGCCAGCGCGGCCGCCCCCAACTACTGGATCACCGGCGCAACCTGGAACTGGGGACCGATCATGGCCCAGATCGTCCACGAGATCCGTACCGGCCTCTACCAGAGCTCGGTCAAGCTGGCTGGAATCGAAGCAGGCTGGGCCAAGCTGGCACCCTTCGGCGGCGGAGTTGACGACGAGACCCAACAGCTTGTCCTCGACACCGTAGAGGGCTTGCGCGACGGCAGCATCCAGCCTTTCACCGGTCCGATCTACGACCAGGACGGCGGCGTGCGCATCGCCGAAGGCGAGACCGCCACCGACGAATACCTGCAGGGTGTGGACTGGCTGGCCCAGGGTGTAGTGGGCCGCACCAACTAGCAGGCGAGCACAACCAGGTGTAAGACGGGGCCACAGAGAGGAGGACACGGAAAATACCCGTGTCCTCCTCTCTGTGCCAGGCTGGAGCTCTGTGGGTTACGCGGTCTCGATCTGGCTGGCGACCTCCAGGCCCAGTTCCTCAATGGCCATCTCTCGCATCCGGAACTTCTGGATTTTGCCAGTGACCGTCATCGGGAACTCCGTGGTGACCTTCACGTACCGGGGAATCTTGAAGTGGGCGATCTTGCCGCGGCAGAACTCACGGATCTCCTCCGAGTCCGCCGTCTCGCCAGGCTTGAGCATCACCCAGGCAGGGCCATCATCACTCGCTAACGACGAGCGCTGTCGGCTCGGGCACCACCCGATGACCTGCAGCGTCTGACACGTTGGTGTCTCTGTGAGATGGACCTCGACTCGATCTACCCGATAGGTGTACACGTCTCGCCGCGCACTGGATCATAGTGTCCTTCCGGCGGGGCCCGGATCTGTATGTAATAGACGTCCTCGTCAAACGGTGGCACGATCGCGGGCTGTGCAGCTCAGCCCTCTTGTCAGTCAAGGATGGCGGGCTGGTGTGGTCGGAGTCGGGCCGGGTCTGTGCTAGTAGCTCCGCATTACCATTGAGCTGCGGGCCTGCAGTTCCCCCTGGACGCCGGGGTTGACCTCCAGGTTGGTCTCCGGGTCCCTAGTCCGATCCCTCGGCCTCCACTCCGGGCAGCACTTGCCGAGCGGTGAGAACACCGGCGCTCGAGCGCTCGGAGTGTGCGCGGTAGTTTGGTGAAGGGTCTGGTGTGTGATGAGCCGTGTGGAGAGTGGCAGCGGTCTGGCCGTAGGCGATGGTCATCTGGTGCGCGCCCATCCGGTCGATGACCTGCCGCATCACCTCGATTGGGCAGGGGGACCCGGCCATGATGCCAGTACGGAGCGACGAAACGTCGAAGCTGTCGAACTGCGGATGGTCCAACTGCGCGATGAACATGGTTGGGACGCCGTATAAGGCGGTGCAACGCTCGCGGTCCAGCGCCTGCAGTGTCTTCAACGGGTCGAAGTGCTCTGCGGGAATGATGATGGCCGACCCGTGGGTGATGCAGCCCAGATTCCCCATGACGCAGCCAAAGCAATGGTAGAAAGGCACCGGGATGCACAGGCGGTCATGCTCGGTGAGTTCAATGCAGTCACCGACGAAAACGGCGTTGGACACCAGGTTGTGATGGGTGAGCATGGCGCCCTTGGGGTTGCCGGTGGTGCCGGAGGTGTACTGAATGTTTACCGGGTCGTCGGGCTGGCATTCGGCCTGCCTCGCCGCTAATTGCTCCGGTGAGACCTCGGTGTGCCTCCCCACCATTTCCGCCCACGACCACATTCCGGCAGGTGTGGGCGCCCCTGCGCTGTCTCCGAACGGCGGGATGTAAACCACGTCTCGCAGGTAGGGGAACCGCGAGTTGCTTAACTCTCCCGGATTGGAGTCTTTCAGATCCGGGACCACTTCGTTGAGCATGGCCGCGTAGTCTGAGTTGCGAAATCGTCCGATGAGGATCAGAGCGTTGGCCTCCGACTGCTCCAACAGATAGGCCAGCTCGTGGGTGCGGTAGGCGGGGTTGACATTGACCATCACCGATCCGATTTTTGCGGTGGCGAACTGGGTCAGAACCCATTCGGTGTAGTTGGTGGCCCAGATGCCAACGTGATGTCCGCGTTGGACGCCCAGTGCCATCAACCCGCGGGCGACCCGCTCCACCTCGTTGCGGAACTCTGTGTAGGTGTACCGTGCTCCAGTCTCGTTGTGGACGAGCGCTTCCCGGTCTGAGAAGCGTTCGACCTGCCGGTCGAGCATGTCCCCGATGGTGCTGTTGACGTCTACCCCGCTGCCGGAACCGTTGACGCTAGCGTTATCTGCCATGATCTGCCTCGTCAATTGCGTTATGCGCTTGGTGTCGAAATGCAAAGGTCCAATTGCACCTGACTTGATTGAGCTTGATTATACTTTAGCGGCGCAACCCGAAATACTGACACGATACACGCCTCCAGCAGTGTAAAATGGGCGCCAAGTCCGGGTGAGCAGACGCCCACGGTAACCTTTCCCACAGCGCGAGATAGATATGAGACAGACAACCGCCGATTTGCTGTTTAACGGTAGTCCACCGCCCTTTGAAAGACACGCCGTAACCGCGCTGCAGTCTGTGCAGCGAAGCTTCCGCACTGGAGTGGCCGCATCTCCCATTGGCGCCGAGTTCACGGAGAGCGACGCCTACAATACGCAATACCACTTCCTTCAACAACTGCAGCCCATTGAAGCCATATCGGGCCATAAGGTCGCTTTGACCACCAAGGCCTCGCGGGAACACCTTGGGGTCCACGAGCCCTGTTACGGCCATATACTTAGCACATGCGTCTACGAGAACAACGCAGACGTGCCTATAGGCAATCTGGCCTCGCCCCACATCGAGGCCGAGGTCGCGTTTGTTATGGGCGAGGACCTGCAGGGGCCCGGAGTAACACCCGTCGACGTGATGGCCGCGACATTGGGCGTTCTACCGTCGCTGGAGTTGGTGGACTTGAAGGTGCAGGGAAAGGGCATCAGTGCTACTGACGTCATTATCCACAACGCCCTGCACGGTGGTCTCGTGGTGGGATCTCGACTGCGCTCCCTGGAAGATCTGGACCTGCAGTACGAGGGTGTTACCGTCGAGTTCAACGGCGAACTGCACGGCTCCGGAACGGGATTCGAGGTGATGGGTAACCCGATCAATCCCGTGGTGTGGCTCGTCAACAAGCTTGCCGAGTTCGGAGACTACCTGCGGGCTGGAGAGACCATCATCTCCGGCTCAATGGTCACCCCGGCGGAACTCAAGCCCGGCGATTCCGTGAAGGTCACCTATTCTCGGATGGGCACCGTCGGCGCTCGGTTCGTTACGTAGGTCTGTTGGCTCCTTAACCAGGCAAGAAACCAGGCAAGGGGTCCTCATCCTAACCCTTTCCGAAATGTAGAGAATTCTTGGGAGGAAGAGATGACTTGGGAATTTGAACTTGTCGCGGGCCCTTATGGTGGGACTACCGAGGGGCCGGTCTGGGACGGTCAGGCCCTGCTGTTTACTGACATACCCAACAGCCGGATCATGCGCTACGACCACCATACCGGCGAGTGCACCGAATGGCGCACCGGCACAGAAGGCACCAACGGACTGAACTTCGACACGCAAGGCAACCTCTATGGCTGTTCCGGCGGCGGGCGGCGCATCCTGCGCTTCAACGCCGACGGCACGGCCACTTCCCTGCCCAGCCTGCTGGAGGGCAAGCGGCACAACCGTCCCAATGACCTGGCCATCGACCGCAAGGGCCGTATCTGGTTCACCGATCCGGCGGGCCAGATTCCCCCAGAGGAACGGGAGCTGGACCATGCCTCGGTGCTGCGCCTCGATCCTGACCCCAGTGCGGAGGGTGGCTGGACACTGCACCGGATGACGTTCGACACCTGGGCGCCCAACGGCCTCCTGTTCTCGCAGGACGAGAGAACACTGTACGTCGTGCAGAGCGACTACCAGGGAACCCGTGACCTGCGCGCCTATCCGCTGCAGTCCGACGACTCCCTGGGCGAGCCGCTGGTGCTGCACGAGTTTGGCCGGGACTTTCGCGGTGTCCACCGCGGGCTCGACGGGATGTGCCTGGACGTGGACGGCAATATCGTTGCTGCCGGCGGCTGGCGGCAGGCCGGTCCGGGGCCCCTGATCCATATATTCGCTCCGTCGGGACGCATCATTGAGACGCACCCTGTGCCTTTCGACTGGCCAACCAACTGCGCCTTCGGCGGCCCGGCTCTGGACACGCTTTACGTCACCACCCACGGTGGGCACCTGCTCCGGGTAAACAGCACCGACCGCCGGGGTTATAGCAATTTCCCCCATAGGTGAACGGAAGGAGGGTGTCAGGAACCAATGCCCGGAAGCCCTCCGACACTAATCCATCCCTGTTTCAGATTATGTAAACAATTGAAAACATGTCCATGAGGTGATTATGACAACTGAGCAGGCGAGCCCAGCTCCTCTTGAAGAGGTCTTCGATGTCATTGGTTCCCGGCCCATTCGGCACGACGGGCCGGACAAGGTGACCGGCCGTGCCCGGTACGCCGCAGACATTCATCCGCCAGGATGGTTGGTGGGCAAGATCTTGCGCAGTCCTCACGCCCACGCCGTCATTCGGAGCATCGATACCTCCCGTGCCCTGGCAGTACCGGGCGTAAAGGCCGTTGTGACTTCCGCTGACCTGCCCGACGTCTCTGCGGAGATAGCCGATCAGGAGGAGGGATCGACGGTCAATTACGGCTTTTATAGCCGCAACGTGATGGCCCGCGAGAAGGCCCTGTACGTGGGACATGCCATCGCCGCTGTGGCAGCTACCTCGGCAGCCGCCGCGGAGGAGGCGCTTGGGGCCCTGGTTGTGGACTATGAAGTGCTGCCTCCTGTTCTAAACGCTGACGACGCCATGCGCGACGACGCGCCCATCCTCCACGACCGGTTGGTTACGCTGGCGAATCCGGGTATGCGACAGGGTGGCTGGGGCGACGCCAACGCCAAGCCCAGCAACATATCGAACCGGTTCGAGTTCCGGCTGGGCGAACCGGAGGCCGGATTTGCCGAAGCCGACGTAATTGTCGAAAGGGAGTTCCACACGCGGCCAGTACACCAGGGCTATATCGAACCCCACTCGGCCACTGCGCAGTGGAGCACCGACGGCAGCGTGACCATCTGGGCCAGCAGCCAGGGCCACTTCGCGCTGCGCGATCACACGGCGGCCATCCTCGGTGTCGTGTGTCGCGACTCAAGATCATACCCATGGAGATTGGTGGCGGGTTCGGAGGCAAGGGGCAGGGTGGCTGCTACCTGGAGCCGGTCGTCGCGGCCCTCTCCCGCAAGTGCGGGCAGCCGGTCAAGATCGCCATGAGCCGTCCCGAAGTGTTCGAAGGCACGGGTCCCACCTCGGCCAGTCACATCCGCGTCAAGCTGGGCGCCACCCGCGAGGGCAAGCTGGTGGCGGCCGATTGCACCCTGGTCTACGAGGCTGGGGCGTTCCCCGGTTCGCCGGTGCCGTCGGGCTGCCGCACCATGCTGGCTCCCTACGAGGTGGCCAACAGCTTCATCGAGGGCGTCGACGTGGTGGTCAACACCCAGAAGGCCGCGGCCTACCGCGCGCCAGGGTCGCCCACGGCCGCCTTCGCCGCCGAATCGGTCATCGACGAGATCTGCGAGCAGTTGGGCATGGATCCCGTGGAGTTCCGGATGAGAAATGCGGCAAAAGAGGGCAGCCGCCAGCCGACGGGCCCAGTCTTCCGCAAGATAGGGTTCGTGGAAACGCTGCAGGCCGCGCAGGAACACCCGCACCTGTCCGAGCCACTCACGGGCCCCAATCGGGGACGCGGAATCGCGGCGGGCGCCTGGTTCAACAGCTCGGGCCCTGCCAGCGCCGTCGCCAGCGTGAATCCGGATGGCACAGTCAGCCTGATTGAGGGTTCTCCGGACATCGGCGGGTCAAGGGCAGCCATGGCCATGCAGGTGGCCGAGGTCCTGGGTATTCCGGTTGAGACGATAAAGCCGTCGGTGGTGGATACTGACTCCATCGGCTACAGCTCGGGAGCCGGCGGCAGCGGCGTGACCTTCAAGATGGGCACCGCCTGTCACGATGCCGCCCAAGACATCAAGCGGCAGGTGATCGAGCGGGCCGCCCGCATCTGGGACGTTTCGCCCGATGACGTTGAATACAACAAGGGTGTGCTGTCTCACAAGCAAGACCCCGAGCTGAGCATCACCTTCCAGGCCCTCGCTCCCCGGCTGAACGGCACCGGCGGCCCCATCGTGGGACGGGCCACAGTCAACCCAGGCGGCGTTGGCAACGCCTTCGGGCTGCACATCGTGGACGTGGAGGTCGACCCCGAAACCGGCAAGGTGACAATTCTGCGCTTCACGGCACTGCAGGATGCAGGCCGGGCGATCCACCCCAGCTACGTTGAGGGACAGATCCAAGGCGGCGTGGTTCAGGGTATCGGATGGGCCCTGAACGAGGAGTATTTCCTGAACGACGAGGGCCGGATGCTGAACTCCAGCTTCCTCGACTACCGGATGCCGACCAGCCTCGACTTGCCGATGATCGATACGGTCGTGGTAGAGGTGCCGAACCCCGGCCATCCCTACGGTGTGCGCGGGACGGGCGAGGTTCCTCTGGTGCCGCCCCTTGCAGCCATCGCCAACGCAGTATCGCGCGCCATCGGCAAACGCTTGACTGACCTGCCTATGACGCCCGGCCGTATTTTGGAGGAGATCGGCTATTAAAGGCACGCAAAGCCAAGATTTGAAGGGGCCGGAACTGTTCAGTTCCGGCCCCTTTGCTGTGTGGGCTCCACATTTTGCTGGAGTTTCCAGGGAAATCGCCTGACGATGCTTCCTTCGCCAAGTACAGAGGCCTTCCCTTTAGTTGGCATGGGCCTCGAGATTATGTTTACTGGGAGTTAGCCTCTGTTTATGTAGTTTATGTCGAGTTACGGAGTCTTCTGGAACGGATCGGTGAGCTCCAGTTCCTCGCCGATCTCGCGGAGGGCGGGCAGGACCTCCTGGCCCATCAGTTCCAGGCAGCGCATGGTGTCCTCGTGGCTGATGGTGCCGTCGTTGGTCCAGATGGACAGGATGCCGGGGCGCATTATTGACAGCACTTCCCGCAGCTGCTTTATGACGGTCTCCGGGCTGCCGATAATCCAGCGCTTCGAGTCGAGGATCGAGTCGTAGGCCGCCGTGTCCAGGCCCCCGACGCGGAAGGGATCGGAGCGGATCTGCTCCCGTATGCGCAGGTAGCGCGGGTCCTGGCTGGCACTGGCGTAGCCCACCGGCGACTGGTAGTCGCGGGGCAGAGGGATGCGGCCGACGCCGATGTTCCCCGTCATGTAGCCCTTGCCTACCTCCTGGGCCTTCTCGTCGGTGTCCTGCACGTGGATGCGGACGAGGTAACCCGAGATGCTCGGGACCCGGCTCGTAGCCCACCTGGCGGGCGTTCTCGGCGTATATTTCCTTCATATCCTGGGTGGACTGGATGTCGGTTTCGAGGAAGATGTAGGGATAGCGATGCTCGGCGCACCAGACCAGGGTTTCCGGACTGCCAGTGCCGGGGATCCACACGGGCGGATGCGGCTTCTGCATCGGCACCTGGAACGGATTGACCACGCGGAAGTGGTAGTGCTTGCCCTCCCAGCGCCAGGGTCCGGGCTCGGTCCAGGTCTTTATAACCAGATCGTGGGCTTCCTCGAACCGTTCACGGTTGAACAGCGGGTTGGTGTTGGTGGCGAGGCTTTCCACGCCTGTTCCGCGAACGAATCCGGATACGAGGCGCCCGCCGGAGATCATGTCGATCTCGGCCAGTTCTTCGGCAAGGCGAATGGGGTTGTCGAAGATCGGCAGCGGGTTGCCCAGCAGCACGATCTTGGGCTTCTTGGTTATTCGGGCCAATATGGCCGCCTCGAGGTTCATGGTGGCGCCAAGGCAGGTGGGCGTGTTGTGATGCTCGTTGAGCATCAGGCCGTCGAACCCCACCTCCTCAGAATATTCGTACTCGTCGAGGTACATGTTGTAAAGCTGCGAGCCTCGTTGGGGGTCGAAGTTGCTGTTGGAGAATGTGAGGCGCACGGCGTTGTTGGGACTGTTGCGAACGTCTTCTTCCGTGTAGTCCATATAGGCGCGCTCGGTAAACCGCATCAGGAACATGGGTCGACTCCTCGGGGTTGAATACTGGGAGCTGGTGCTGTCAGAAGGCCCGCGGCGGGAACACCCGACGATAGACGCCCGGTGAGCCGGGAGCTGGCCGTAGGCCCCGCCAATAAACTGGTTCATCGTGTCCTGGCCACGCTGCTTTTCCCATGCGAGGGTCTCCGGCACCTTCTCGTGCTCGAACTCGTACATGGTCAGGTATTTGGGCTCGCCCTCTACGGCGTGGTAGCGGCGAACGAACGTACAGCCCGGTATCTGCAGGTTGCCCGGGGTGCGGACGTTATCGTAATACTCGTTGTACTTGGCCTCCAGCTCGGCGGGAACGTCCATCCGCCCAATCTGGAGTGCCGGGGCCATCCCGCGGCCAAGCGTATCCGGGTCGTCGCCGCCCTCGGGATAGATCTGGGAGTACACATTTCGGACGTAGCCGCGTCCGATCGTGCCGGGCCCCATGCGCTGGGTCCAGGGCGTCGGGTTGTTGCTCATCCGCAGGTACTCGTCGGACTGCATCGCCTCGGCCGATTCCAGCTCATACACGGCCAGGTAGCGCGGGCCGCCCTTGAGCGCCTCGTAGCGGGCTCCGTCCAGAAAGCCGGGGGCGCTGAGCCGCTCGGGAATGTGTTCCTCGTTGTACCAGCGGTTGAATTCGGCGTCGTGCTCGATGTCCACGTTAACGTAGACCATCAGCAGGGCCGTGCCTTTCTTTTGGGCCATTCAGCCTCCTTATTTCCCTCCATCAGGCGCAGAGGGTTAGTTGTCGGTGACCTCGAAGGACAGGTAGGCGTAGCGGAGGAATATGCCGCCACGCGGCTCCGCCAGCGGCCCGTTGGCCACCAGGCAGGCGATTACGTAGCTAGAGCCGGCCTCGGCGGTGGTGGCCAACTCGATCCGCTGGGGGTTGTTAAGACCGACAATAGCCCCAGCGGTTCGGTCGATTTCACCATTGACCCAGACCTCGCCGTAATTGTCGGCGTTGGTCTCGAACCAGAGGCGTGCGCCGGCCACCGGCAGGTTTTTGACGGAATCGGGAATTTCCACCTTGATGCGATACCAAGCGAAGGTAAAGCCGACGGACAGGCTCTGGCGAATGTTGTCGCACACTTCCCAACCGGAGTCGTCGTAGTCGGCCAGCCGCGCCGGTGTGGCCAGCAGTTGAGCGGTGAGACCCTCATTGGGCTCGCCGGGCACGAGGCCGGGAGCGACCCGCCACTGCCCCTTCACCTGCGCCCTGTCTGCGGCGTTGTTCAAGTCGAGGGCCACTCTTGGCATGGCATTCCTCCGTTGTGTTGAATACGCGGCGATTATAGCCGCCTTGTGGCTGCAGTGGTCACTGGCGGCCGGTCATGGGCAGCGTTCCGTTACCAGAGTTCGAGCCGTCATTGCTGTCAGATCGTTGCACTGATCATCATCCGCAGGGGGAACCAGATGAATGGTCCCGGTGGATGCCAGTTGGCTGTAGGCAATGCGGGTGTCATGGGCGTTGGAGTTCGCTGCGACGATGGCGGGGAAAGCGGCGAGTTGGTGCGGGGTGATGTCAGGGGTATGGAAATCACTGCCATTTCCTGCCAAATCCTGACATTTCCGGGGATTCGCAGCAATTTGAGGAGTGCTATGGGATGGCGTGGAGGAGGTCGACCATTGGCTAACTCGGCGCGTTGGTCGCGGCGTTGGATTAACAGGGAACGGGTTCGCTGTATTCGATGGTAGAGAGTTGTCATGAGGCTTGGCAAGTGGCTTCTGTCAGTAGTTTCGGGAGAGCGGTGAGCTGTGTGGTGGGGATTTGCGCTGGTTCTCGCTGATGCTTCACGGGACTCTACGGGTTTCTTGCCGCCTAATGCCGAAGCAGGGCTATAATCCAACCAACAATTTACCGTGCTCGACAGGAGGAAAGTGAATGGAGATTTACGAGTGCATCAGGTCTCGGCTGACTGTCCGGGACTTCAGGCCTGACCCCGTGCCGAACATAGTGATCCGGAGAATGCTCCAGGCAGCCCGCTGGTCGCCCAGCGCCCGCAACCGCCAGCCTTGGAACTTCGTCATCATCCAGAACCGGGACACACTCGACCAGATTGGCAGCATCGCGTCGTCGGGCGGGTTTATCGGCGGCGCTCCACTGGCGGTGGCCGTGGTTATGGACCGCGGGGGCCGTCCCGAGTTCGACGCAGGCAGGTCGTTGCAGCAGATGGAGCTGGCGGCCTGGTCGCAGGGTGTGGGAGGCTGCGTCGCAGGGGTTCGCGGCGAGGAGAACGACAAGGTCAGAGAACTGCTTGGCATTCCTGAGGACAAAGACCTGGTGACGGTAGTGGCCTTCGGATATCCGACGGAGGAGGCTGCCGCTAAGACAAAGCTACGCAAGCCGATTTCGGAATTTGCCCACAGCGAAAAAGTACGGCCAAGCCTACGACGCCTAATTTTCAGATTTGAGGTTGAGTCATGCGATTGGAGAACAAGGTTGCCATTATTACCGGAGCAGCCGCAGGGGTCGAAGGCCAATTGATGGGATTTGGAGGCGCTGCCGCCCGCATGTTCGTAAATGAGGGAGCGAAGGTCGTTCTCACGGACATCAAGGTCGATATGGGAGAAGCCACCGCCGCCCAGATACGCGAGAACGGCGGGGACGTGTTCTTCTTGGAGCACGACGTCACGGACGAGCAACGCTGGCAAGAAGTCATCGCCGAGACGGTAGCCCGCTACGGAAGGCTGGACGTGCTGGTCAACAACGCTGGCACCGGAGCCAGGCGGACAGTGGAGGAAACCACCGTTGCGGACTGGCAGGGGCAGATGGACGTGCACGCCAAGGGCGTGTTCCTGGGCACCAAGCTCGCTATTCCCGAGATGCGCAAGGCCGGCGGCGGCTCCATCATCAACATATCCTCCATCTATGGCTTGGTGGGCAGCGAGACTTCCACGGCCTACCACGCGGCCAAGGGCGCCAGCCGCCTGTTCACCAAATCCGTTGCGATACAGTACGCCAAGGAAAACATCCGGGTGAACTCGGTGCATCCGGGCTACTGCTGGACTCCGCTGACGGATCCCGGATACTCCCACGAGGATGGTCGCCGTGAGTGGTCGCTGGACCGCATCCCCATAGGGCGATTGGGCAACGCCGACGATATCGCCTATGGCATTGTTTACCTGGCCTCCGACGAGTCGTCCTTCGTGACTGGTGCGGAGCTGGTGATCGATGGCGGCACAACGGCGCAGTAGCCATTGAACGCGGCTGTGATGCCGTTGCCCAGGATACCCTAACGGAGGATACCGATGACCGCAGCGCCCACACCCGGACCACAATCACAGGAGCCGTGGCCCAACCTGCGCGCCAGCCCACGATCGTTCTTCAACGCGCCTCTGTGCGACGACATAGATACCCTTGCGGCCGATGTGGCCTTTATCGGGATACCCTTTGACCAGGGAACCCTTGGCCGTCCGGGGGCGCGTTTCGGGCCGGACGCCCTGCGCGATGCGCCCCGGGCGTATTCGTACTCCGACCCATACGGAGCCCAGGGAGCAGCCGACGGCTTCTTCGACATTGACGCCAGGGACGAACTGCTGCGGGGGGTGACCATGGCCGACTGCGGCAATGTCCCCATCGTCCCGTCGGAGGTGGTGGGCAACTTTGACCGAATCACCCGCGCGGTGGAGCAGGTCGTCGAGCGGGGGGCGCTGCCCGTCGCAGTCGGAGGCGACCATGCCATCACCTTCCCCGTGGTGCGTGGTCTGTCCAGGTTCGCGCCCTTGAACATCGTCCACTTCGATGCTCACCTCGACTACACCCACAATGTGCAGGATGCCCTGTACACCCACGCCAGCCCCATTCGCCGTTGCAGGGAGCTGGACTTCGTGGGCCACATCACGTCGGTGGGTATTCGCTCTGCCCGGCGCATCCCCTACGAAGAAGCGGTCCGCGACGGCAGCCTGGTCATCAGCCACTCCCGCTTCCGGGAGCTGGGTCCGGAGGCTGTGGCAGAGCTGATCCCACCGGCCGAGAACCTGTACATCACCTTTGACGTGGACGTTCTTGACCCCAGCCAGGCACCCGGGACCGGGACACCGGAAACCGGCGGGTTGTTCTACCAGGAATCGCGGGACTGCCTGCTGGCCCTGCTGAAGAGGTCCCACCTCGTCGCCTTCGACATAGTGGAGGTCGCTCCGCCCTACGACAGTTCGGAGCTGACTGTGCAGGTGGCCGCCCGGCTGGTGCAGGACATTCTGGCCGCACGATTCCCTTCACGCTGACTGTGTCCCTTGCCCTCCTATGCAACGTTTGGAGGCATCTGCCGATTGGGGCCCATGCTATTACGCGTAATGGAGCTGTGGGGGCAGGGCAATCGCGTCTTATGTCAGCACACAAAATTGGTCTAATGTCGGTGGATATGGGGGAGGGAGTGGAAGTGCCTCCATTGGGTCCGGGTGCGAGGGTAGACGGGGGTTTGGATTCCCCGCTTTCGCGGGAAAGACGACTTATCGGGCCTCCTGCATTTAAGACGCGATTGCCCTGGCTGCGGGGGGCTATGTGTGCATCGCAAACGTATCCCAAGTGAACCCAATCCGTCACGAATCGCTGCTTCGACGGATCGACGAACCAGTGGTCCGACAATTGTTGTAAATCGTCGTTAATTCCTGCTACTTTTAGTGGTACTTTTGAATCAAGTGGGGACCGGTAGTGCATATATTGAAATGGCTCCTCGTTTGCAGCATAGTCGCCGCCTTGCTGGTCACGCTGGGTTGTACCAGGGAAGTGGTCAAAGAGGTGGTGATAACGCCTGTCCCCGGTCCAACCCCGACGTCCGTTTCGACCGAGACGCAGGTCGAGGACTCTGACGATGCTGACAGCGACAGTGGGGCAAAGGTCTACCGGATCGGCATCGCCCGAGGACCTGACAACCACCAACCACTGGGCATTCCTGGGGCCAGACGGGACTGTCTGGAACGGCTATGTCCTGGGTGGGAGCAAGCCGTCGCTCTACGGATACTCCGCCCAGCGATACGACTGGATACCGTCTCTGGCGGCCGACTTCCCAACACCGTTGGCGGAGGAGGTTGTCGGTGGAGAAACCTTCTGGATCACCGAGGTGGAACTCCTGCAGGGAGTCATGTGGAGCGACGGCAGCGAGGTCACGGCCGAGGACTTTGCGTTCACTGCCCACACGGCGAGCGGGCTCGAGCTGACGGGCAATTGGCCGTCGATTGTGGACCCCGAGTATTTCGACCATGCCGAGGTCATAGATCCCTACAGTCTGAAGATATTTTTCAAGCAGAAACCTGGCCTTGCCCGATGGCAGTTTGGCCTGGCTTTCATGCCCATCTTCCCCAAGGCCTACTGGGAGCCGGTGGTCGACGAGTCGAAGCAGGCGGGTGAACTCACAGAGCAGCAGAAGGCCCTGTTCGCCCACGTGCCCGACGGTGAGCCCAGCGCGGGTGGATTCCTGTTCGACAAGTGGGAGCGGGGCGCCTTTGCCGAGAAAGCAGCCAACCCCGATTACTTCTTCGCCGGCGCCACGGTGGCCCAGTACGCCAACGGAGCGTATGAGAATTCCAAGGAGGGAGCCTACGAATTCTCTGCCTTTGGAGAACCCAGCGGGGAGGCCGTTCTTGAGTACATTGAGGGGCCGTATTCCGAGAGTACGATTTACTCGATCTATGGGAGCCAGGACGCCGCAGTATTGGCCCTTAAGAAAGGGGACATCGACTTCATGCTGAATCCCCTTGGTCTCTCCAAGGGTCTGCAGGAGCAGCTGATCGGAGAAGCCGGGCTCACCACCCTGGAAAACACATCAGACGGCATGCGCTACTTGGGATTCAATTTCCGCAAGGCCCCCCTGGATGACAAGGCTTTCCGGCAGGCGGTCGCCACGCTGATTGACAAGGAATTCCTGGTAGACACGGTGCTGCAAGGCGTTGCCATCCCGATTTACACCACGGTGCCGGAGGGAAACGGCGCGTGGTACAACCCGGATGTTCCCCTCATCGGGAAGGGATTGAGCCGGGCGGAGCGCATTTCTCAGGCCGTGGAACTCCTGAAGGGGGCCGGGTTTACCTGGGAGACAGAGCCTCGGATCAGTGAGGACGGGCAGTTTGTCGAGCAGCAGGGAGAGGGGCTGAAGATGCCCAATGGCGAGCCCGTGCCAGCGATGGAGGTGCTGGCCCCCAGCCCTGGTTACGACCCGCTGCGCTCAACCTTCGCCATCTGGATCGAAAGGTGGCTGAACGAAGTGGGAATTCCCCTGCGGGCCAATCTCACGGGATTCAACGTCATAGTCGAGAAGGTTTTCGACCAGCAGGAATTCGACATGTGGATCCTGGGCTGGGGCCTGAGCGCGTTCCCCGACTACCTCGAGGCGTTCTTCCACAGCAAGCACTCGCAGCTCGAAGGCTACAACCCCGGCGGGTACAGCAACCCCGAATTCGACCGGCTGGCCGACCAGTTGCTGCATGAGACCGACCTTGAGGCGGCACGCCAACAGGTCTTCAAGATGCAGGCCTTCCTCGCCGATGACTTGCCGTACGTGGTGCTTTTCGACACTCCCATCATCGAGACTTACGCGAGTGAGCGCATTGAGTTCCCATATACGGAGACCTGGGGCGGGCTTCAGAGCGCCGCGGGCATGCCCCTCGCTGGTCAAGTTCAAGTAAGTGATCCAGAATCTCGTAAAGGCACCTGGATCAAGGACGGGAACAGCGTCTACGGACTGACATCCGGCCAACAGAGCGTTAAGTCACGGAGTCAACCCTGATGACAGGTTACTTGGTGCGGCGCGTGGGGCAGATGGGGTTGACTCTCTTTCTCATCATTACCCTGACCTTTTTCCTCGTGGAGGCGCAGCCCGGCGACTACGCGTCCTTCTACGTGCTCAACCCTGACCTGCCTCCCGACGTGAAGGAAAAGATCAGGGCCGCTTTCGGCCTGGACAAGCCGCTCTGGCAGCAGTACCTGATCCACCTGAAGAACACCTTTACCGGCAACTTCGGCGTATCGTTCGGCCACTTTCCCCGCCCGGTCATGGACGTGCTGGCGGAACGCATCCCACGGACGCTGGTGCTGTTCCTTACGGCAACTGCAGCCTCCTTCTACCTCGGCTTTTTCCTGGGCAAGGCCATCGCCTGGCGGCGCGGCGGCTTGTTCGAGTATGTCGCGACGATCTCCGGCGCGACCCTCTTCACCGCGTTCACCCCGGCATTTGCCCTGATGATGATCTGGATATTTGCGTTCCGGCTGGACTGGTTCCCCCTGTGGGGAAATTCCTGGACCCGCTGGTCTGGCGGGGCACCGACGTAAGCGCCAACTACGTTTTCGGGAACATGCTCCTCAGTGCTGCTGCCTTCATATTTTTTGCGTTCCTGGTGATGTTGCTGCTCAAGAGGTTGGGCCGTCGGGTGCCTGCGTCCGTCCCTTTCCTCATCATTGTGGCGGGAGGGCTGATCGCGCTGCTGGTGTGGTCTTTTTCAGGCATCGGCGGTCTTGCGCTGGACATCCTCAAGCACATGGTCTTGCCGGTGGCCACACTTACCCTCATATCGTTCGCTGGCACTATGCTGCTGACACGAAACAGCATGCTGGAAACGATCCGGGAGGACTACGTCATGGCGGCGCGGGCCAAGGGCCTGCCAGAGAGGCAGGTTCGCGACCGGCACGCCGCCCGCAATGCCATGCTGCCGGTGGTAACCAGCCTGGTCTACAGCTTGATTTTCGCTATTGATGGGAGCGTCATCATTGAGGGCGTCTTCTCTTGGCCCGGAACCGGCATGACCCTGCTGTCGGCCGTACGCAGCGAGGACCTGCCGCTGGTCATGGGGGCAATGCTCTTCATCGGTTGCTGTCGCTGCTGGCTCACATGATCGTAGACGTTCTGTATGTGTATCTCGATCCCAGGATTCGGTACCAGTGAATTCGCCCGAGCAGATCCCGCCCACTCCCGCGCTGGATTCGTCTGATTCCCAGCAGGGGGGCCAGATGCGTGGCAGGGCTACGTTCGCGCTGGTTCGCCTGCGGCTGGCGGCGCGTTCGTTCGGGAGAGGGTGGAATATATTCATGGAGAGCCGGGTGGGCGTGCTCTCAGCATTCACGATTTTTGTGTTTGCCCTGATGGCGATCTCCCACCCTATCTTGATGGCAACGATTTGGGACTCTGAAACCTACGATCCCGTGACCGGATACTCCTTCGGCCAGACGGAACAGCCTGCCCCGCCGAGCTGGAAACACCCTCTCGGCACCGATCCCCTGGGGAGAGACGTACTCAGCCAACTGCTCTACAGCACCCGTTCCGAGTTCATTCTGGGTTTGACCGCCGCTCTGGTCACCGTGGGCATTGCCACCGTCGTGGGAGCGGTTGCCGCCTACTATGGCGGTTTGCTCGATGCCTTTTTCATGAGGCTGGCTGACCTGGTTATCGCCCTGCCGGCCATCTCGCTCTTGATAGTGCTCAGCGCCCTGTTCAATCTGAACCTTTTCTACCTGGCCCTGATCATAGGCGTGCTGGGAGGATTCGGCGGAACGGCCATCATCCTGAAGTCACAGGCGCTGACCATCAGGGTCAAACCGTTCATCGAGGCAGCCCGGGTTGCAGGTGGCGGGCACTTCCACATAATTGCCGTGCACATCATCCCTCACCTGTTGCCCCTGTCGCTGCTTTACATGATGTTCACCGTGACCAGCGCTATCTTCGCAGAGGCGGTGCTTTCATTCCTGGGGCTCCTGGACCTGAGAATGAGCTGGGGAATCATGATTCACACAGCCAACACCGGGGGCTACCTGCTGGGAGGAACCAAGTACTGGTGGCTGATCGTGCCTGCCGGGGCCTCCATAACATTCCTGTGCAGCGCTTTCTATCTTGCGGGTCGCGCCCTCGACGAGGTGGTCAATCCCAGGCTGAGGCGCAGGTATGACTGATTCAAACGTCGCCAACGGGAACATGACCTCGATGCCTGTGCTGCAGGTGTCCGATCTCTCTCTCACATATCAGATCAGGCAGGGAGAGGTGAAGGCCGTGCAGGGTGTGGGCTTCGAGCTGGCGCGGGGGCAGTCGCTGGGCCTGGTGGGCGAATCCGGGTGCGGCAAATCGTCGGTCGCCAACTGCCTGATGGGACTGCTGCCAGACAACGCCCGCGTGACTGGCGGCCGGGTGTTGTTGGGCGGCGAGGATATCCTGTCCCTCTCGGAAGAGGACCTTCGCAAATATCGCTGGCGTCGGATAGCCATGGTATTTCAGGCCGCAATGAACGTGCTTGACCCGGTGTACAGGGTCGGCCAGCAGATCATCGAGGCCATCGAAGCTCACGGCATGGAGACGACCGACTCAAAGGCGAGGCAGAGGGTCGCGGACTTGTTCCGTAAGGTTGGCCTCGATCCCCAATTGATGGACAGGTATCCCCACGAATTCAGCGGGGGAATGCGGCAGCGGGCGGTGATTGCCATGGCCCTGTCCTGCGAACCGGATGTGATCATTGCGGACGAGCCAACAACGGCCCTGGATGTGATTGTCCAGGACCGCATCCTGAGGGAGTTCAAGAGCATCCAGATGGAAAACGACATGGCCGTCATATACATCAGCCACGACATCGCCGTGGTGGCCGAGGTCACCGATCTCGTGGCCGTGATGTACGCTGGCCATATCGTGGAATCGGGGTCAACCGCAGATGTGCTGACCGCGCCCCTTCATCCCTATACGGCAGCGCTCATGTCTTCGTTTCCAAGCGTCCGTGGCGAGCGGCGGCCCTTGGCGGCGCTGGAAGGTGAGCCTCCCAACCTCGTCGATCCTCCCGGTGGCTGCCCGTTTCACCCTCGGTGTCCCGCCGCCACCGACGTTTGCCGCACGGAGCCTCCGCCACGGGCTGTCAGGGGCGATCACTGGGCTGCCTGCTGGCACCCTCTGGACGAAACAATAACGCCGCCCGCCGGTATGAGCTAATGCTGAACGACGACCGGGTCTCGCAGGCTATGCCTGAACTGGCAGGTGGAACGGGCCCCATCATCGAGGTTGAGGGACTGATCAAGCGGTTTCCTGTCTCGAAGAACCTGTTCAGGAAACCCACCGGTTTCATTCACGCCGTGGACGACGTCTCCCTTACGCTCGCACGCGGGGAGAGCCTGGGCGTTGTCGGCGAGTCCGGCTGCGGAAAGACGACTATCGGCAAGCTGCTGGTCAAGCTGTTGGATCCTGACGAGGGCAGAATTCGGGTCCGATTCCCCGCCAGTTCCAACGTAGATGGTGACGACATCCTGGTGGATACTGCCTCTCTTAAGGGCACGGAAATGCGTGAGTTCCGCCGCCACGCCCAGATGATTTTCCAGGACCCATACGAGTCAATGAACCCAAGGAGGACCATCTACGACATCGTTTCGGAACCGCTGGCGGTGCAGAAAATCGGCAGCGTGATGGACCGCGTGGAACGCGTCAGCGAAACCTTGACGTCCGTGGGTTTGACCCCGGCAGCCGACTTCCTGTTCCGCCATCCCCACGAACTGTCGGGTGGACAGAGACAGCGGGTAGCGATTGCTCGGGCGCTGGTAATCCGTCCACGGTTCGTGGTGGCCGACGAGCCGACATCCATGCTGGACGTTTCCAGCAGGACCGGGATCATGCTTCTGATGCAGCAATTGGCCCGTGATCTGGGAATCGCGTACCTTTATGTCACCCATGACCTGGCGGTGGCCCGGTACATGTGCGACCGCATCGCCGTTATGTATCTGGGAAAGGTGGTGGAGCTGGCCGAGACCGAGGAGTTGTTGCGGAATCCGCTACACCCATACACCAAGGCCCTGCTGTCGGCGGTTCCAGTCCCCGACCCGGGACACCGCCGGGAACCTCCCAACATCCGCGGAGATCTGACCTTGACGGTCAATCCACCGGATAGGTGCCGGTTTTTATGACCGCTGCCCCATCGCAAACGACCACTGCCGTGACAACCCGCATCCCGAGACTAAGGAGAGTGCGCCCAGGCACTTCGTGGCCTGCTACGAGGCCTGAACGGCTCGCGCCCGTCGCTGCGGTCAGGCGTTGGGCGGACGCTGGTTGTGCCAGTCGGTGGCCTGTTCGTAGGCGTATGCCACGTTCAGCACAGTCTGGTCTGCGCCGGGACGCCCGCCTATCTGCAGGCCGATGGGCAGCCCCTCGTCGCTGAGGCCGCAGGGTATTGAGACCGCCGGGGCGCTGGCCAGGTTAAACGTCCGGGTCTGCAGGTATTGCAGTGGCGTCGCCTGATCCTTGCTCGTGAGTATGGGGTCCTCGACAATGGGCTGGGCCGCCACGCTGGATGTGGGTGTGACGAGCACATCGTACTGTTCCAGGGCCTCGTGTACCTGCTCTCGGAACATCGCCCGCAGCTTTTGGGCCTTGTAGTAGGCCTGCGCGGGGAAGATGCTGCCGGTCAGAAGGCCAATGCGGTTGTTATGGCCGTAGTCCTGCAGCCGTTCCCGCACCCATTCCCTCATATTCAAAGCTGGTTCAACCACCAGCGGCACCTGGGACAGGATGGCCCCGTGGGCGGTCAAGGGGATCGAGACCTGCTCCACCGTCGCGCCGAGCTCTCCCATTACGCCTAGGGCCCTCAGCACCGCGTCGCGGGTGTCGGCGGCGACGCCCTCGTCTTCCATCTGTTCAGTTATCACACCTATGCGAATGCCATCAATGTCGGCGTTCAGGCCCGCCCGGTAGTCCGGCACGGGCTGGTTCGATGTGTAGGGGTCCCGCTCGTCGTGCCCCGCGATGGCCGAAAGAGTGATAGCGGCGTCCTCCACCGTCCTGGAGATCGGACCCGCGGGTCCATCGACCACACGCCCGTCATAACCCCGTAGCGGCTGACGAGGCCCCAGGTGGGCCTGTGGCCGACCAGGCCGCACCATGTTGCCGGGAACCTGATCGAGCCGCCAGTGTCCTCCCCTAAGGACGTTGCGCATAGGTAGGCGGCGGTGGCAGCTCCGGAACCGCCGCTGGAACCCCCGGTGCGGCGGTCGAGGTCCCAGGGATTGCGGGGCGGGCTGAACCGTTCGAATCCTGCCCCCATGGCGAATTCAGTCATGTTGGTCTTGCCCAGCAGAACCGCTCCGGCCCGCCGAAGGTTTGCGATGATGGTGGCGTCCTCATCCGGCACGAAATCCGCCAGAATGCGGGTGCCGCCCGTGGTCCTGGCTCCCTTTGTCCAGAACTGGTCCTTCACCGCCACCGGGATGCCGTGCATCGGGCCACGGTATTCGCCGCGGAGGATGGCCTGCTCCGCATCACGGGCCGCTTCCAGTGCCTCTCGCCTGGTAACTGTCAGGAATGCGTTGAACTTGAAGTCCAGCCCGTCTATGCGGTCGAGGTAGGCCTGCGTGAGCTCCACAGGGGACTTCGCGGCCCTCTATCATCCGGGAAAGCTCCGACACCGACAGAAAAGGTAGATCATTCCGGTCCATGCTGTTTCCCTCCAGCGCAGGCTCTTTCGTCTCTCACCAGCCTGAACATTGGGCTAAGGCTAGACGAGCGGGGCATATTCGTCCAGTACAGGCGCCAGCGTCTCGTGCTGCTGAGATTTTAGGAGTTTCCACCTGGTTCTGGAAATACTGGACTGATTCAATAGCCAATGGCGATCTCTCTGCACCGATCTTTCTGCGAGCTCACACATCCAGCTATCTGGCCCGAATTTTGCTTCAACTCAAGGTATCAGGCCTGGCTGTTTGGATCTCTCCGGACACTATTCTACGACCATAGCTCAGGAATCGATTGAACGCCTTGGAGAAGTGATTCGATCTCATCCCGAATGGCGCCTATAACTGCATTGCCTGATTGTCCCTAAGCCAAGTCTATGGTCTATCATCTTTTGGGGGGGCGCCGCTTGACGGTCGATCTGTGACTAAAGCGTTCAAGCTTGCAGTCACGAGAATTTTCTGGGTCTTTGCTTACAATGATGACCGCTGACCTACAGTTACCTCTGATTGCGCTCATGTACGGTCGCGGTTTTGATACATGAGGAAATGAAGAGTCGCATTGCCACGATTTGACGAATGCGGCCTTGTATTTATGTGCACTGGACTCTGGATCGGCGTAAGAGTGCACTTGAATTGAGCGATCCGCTTGCCTTTGCTGATTTTACTGGATATGAACACTCAGTAGACCTTCGAAATGTATCGCAACAGACAGATGTCAATATTGAGGAGATTTGGCGCTATGGTTGTATTGGGGAAAGACACCCCAAATTACTCCATAAACACGATTCAAATCCGCAGCGCAAAATCGACTTTTATTTACCAGCTGACAAACATATGAAATTTACACCACTTGGATCACCGAAAAAGAGGCTGGTAGGTCGGTGCCGAACAGTTGGAATTCCCTGACTGCCAATACCATGGATACTGCAATCTCAATGAGGAAAGGCATTGTATGGCCCCATTTCTATCGATGAATTGCTCTATATTTCTTGGATGGAGGGCCCCGATCCGGTCAATATAGAGAGTCGTTTACTTTGCTCGCGTCAGTCACACGTTTACAGTCACTGGCTACAAACGTGGTAAGGCGGTATCTCGGGTCATGAATGACCGCCGAAACTGCATCCGATGCTGAGGATTTCCGGGCGGGCTATTCTCTGGACATTCATCCCGAAAGAGGCTCAAGACAATACGGAATCTTTGCGAATGTACTCCGGAGCGAGGGTTCATACGGAGATCTGGAGTGGGGGATGCCCAGTGAGGTCGCCGCAATTTCTGTACTAGGCCGATTTACCCCAGAGACTCACCTCAGACCCGTCGACAAACGAGGCAAGAGCATTTGCTGAAAATAGCCCGCCTCGTCGAATCAGTATTCAGGCGTCAGGCCAGTCGAAAAAACGATCTCGAGTTGAGAAGTGAATTATTTGGTGGAGGTGAGGGGGGTCGAACCCCTGACCCCCTGCTTGCAAAGCAGGTGCTCTCCCACTGAGCTACACCCCCATCATGTCAACTGCCTTCAGCAATTCCATTTTAGACCCCTTGGAATTGAGAGACAACAAAGGACTGCGTGCGCTTTCAGGGCGCCTAAGGTTTAGAGAAGGATGCCTCTTAATGAATGACGGTCATCTGGTCTGAATCTTCAAGGATTCCTTGGGGTAACCGAACAATTCCACAACCCGCTTGGCCCTGCCCTCGATCAGCGTTCCAGCTCCTTGGCAGGATGCGTAAATTCCGGAGTCGCCTATCTGCCGGGGCTGGTGGACGGCGTCCTCTGTCCGGGAGAAGTATGGGAGGGACCGGCCCCGAATCTCGAGAATCCTTTCGAATTGCTCCGGATGTCGACGCCTGATTACCTCGCAGAGGCCCACCAGTAGGTCCGGCCACGATGCGGCAGGCTGGGTTTCTGATTCTAAGATGAACGACGCAGGTCTGCGGCGGGTGCCCGAGCCGCTTCCACCGACGGCACTGGCGTCGTCATCTGCATGGGGCAGCAGTTCAGAGCGGTGCTCCATTAGAACCCTGCGTACGAACCTGTTGTCCGGCCTGTCCCCAGTCCTCTGTTCTGATGCAGTGGCCACGAGTTCGACCAACCCCTCGTCGAGTCCTCGCACAACCTGACCCCATCCCTCGAGAACGGCACCGCGGGTCACCTCGTTTCTATTGCGGTCCTGGAGCGTCCTTTCAGCCGACCTTGATGCCTGCCCGCTGGATACTCTGTCCTTGGCCAGATACCGGCTGATGTCCTCGGTTGTTGCGTCGAGTTCGCCGGAAAGGTCAATTTCACAAAAACGGTTTTCTTTCTGATCTCCGCTCTCGGACCAGAATAAGAGCAGCCATCTGAGCCCGTTGGTTAGTACTCCAAGAGATGCCTGCTCCCTAGCGCAATGGGCCAGTATCTGTCTCTCGAAACGGTCGCTGTCAAGGTTGTCGTTAATGGACTTCACTTGAACCAGAACCAAAGGGGTACCCGTAGTTCTGGATCTTGTCGAGGAAGGCGACATCAGGGCCAAATCAACCTTCGAGTTTCCCGTTCGATACTCCGGCTGCACCTCGGACAGGTCGAACGTATCCCATCCGGCCGCACTTAACACTCGCAGAACTATGCCTTGCTTTATGGCGCTTTCACTTAATTCTTCCAGCCCGGGCAGGGAATTTATATAGCTAATTGCTTGGGAAATTGCATCCCTATAGTTTGTCCTCGGCATAGTAGTATCTCCCTTTTATGAACTGATGGCTATTGCAGCAATAGCGAGTGGGGAGACATTCTAATGTCCCGCCCGAGATTATAATGAAATCTGGTCGCAATGCAATTCCCTGGGGCATCGAGATTTGGACTAGTCTATGAACGCATCAAACCGGGACGCCTGGTTCCATCACTTCAGTTTGTGCCTTGGGTTTGGGTGGTCCAGGACCGCAGCGTTTACTAGGTTATCAGGCATCCTGCCATGCATCACACTAACCACCTCGGCAGCGGCGCGTTGCTCCAGCTCGAGTGTGGATTCCTGAGAAAAAAATGCGACATGCGGGGTGATTATGACGTTGTCCAGCGATAGCAGTGGATGATCCTGGGCGGGAACATTGTCCACCATTACGTCAAGACCTGCTCCGGCGATAGTCCCATCAGTAAGAGCCTTGTAGAGGGCATTCTCGTCAATTAACGGGCCACGGGCAGCGTTAATTAAAAACGCTTCCGGTTTCATAAGCGACATTTCATTGAGCCCGATCAGGTTTCGAGTTTCTTGTGTAAGAGGTGCGTGCAAGGATACAAAGTCGGATTCCCTCAGCAGCGTTGCCAGATCAACCGAAGTGGCCCCAAGGGACTCCACGGTGGCGGATGAAACAACCGGATCGGCCGCCAGGACTCGCAGTCCAAAGGCATTCGCTTTTTTGGCCACCGCCTGCCCGATTCGCCCAAAGCCGACTATCCCCAGAGTCTTGCCGCGAAGACGCATTATGCGCATGGTCAGGCCCTGGCTTGCCCATCCGCGCTCCTTGACCGCTCGGTCGAAAAGCACGATCTTGCGGTTCCAGGCGTGGAGCATGGCAATAACATGGTCGGAAACCTCGTCGACGCAGTAGTCGGGCACGTACGTTACAGCGATGCCGAGCTCGGTCGCCGTGTCTACCGCTATGTTGTCCACGCCGACCCCGAAGCGGCCAATGACCTGGCACCGTTCCGCGGCCCGGACCACGTTTTCGGTGACGTGTGCGAAACACGTTATAATCGCGTCGGCGTCCTTGGCCAGTTCTATCAGAGTGGCCTCTTCCCCGTTCGGCGCCACCACGACCTCGGCGCCACCGGCTTCCAGCACTGCCCGTTCCGGGTCCGTTGTGGGCCATACATGGTCGGTGATGACAACTTTCCAGGGCATGGCGCCCTCCTGCATTCTGTACGCCCTCGGTCCCGATGCTACAGGTTCACGTCGCGCGGCATGGGCTTGAACATACAGCCCTCAACGAATATATCGAAAAAGTCCGAGGTGGTCTCAAGTTCAATATGCTCGATGTTTTGCGCCAGGGATTCGCCACGCCCCCGCAATTCCTGCGACAGCAGCATGATCGTTGCTCCTTCCAGAGCGGCATTCCCCGCCCGGGTCACTCGTTCCTCCTGAAAGTTGGCGATGAACCCGATGCCAATGGCGTTGGATACGTTCAGGTAGTTGGCAAATCCACCAGCCAGGTAAAGGCGGGAAATTGCTTCCACCGACTGTCCGTATTTGCGCAGGGTTATGAACTGTCCGCAGTAGTTGGCTGACTTGGCCTGGGCCAACGCGCTTATGTCGGCCCGCGACAGTCCCATCGCCTCTTCCGGCGCGAACTGAAACTCCCGGACACCGTTTTCGAACGCGCCCAGGTCGTTCATCAGATCTGCGGCTCTCAGCTCATACAGCAGGTCCACCAGACCGGACCCGCAGATGCCCTGAACTGCAACGTCCCCGATGGTGGAAACCTCGGGTTGCCCGTCCCGGATGCGCACGGACTCCACCGCCCCGTCGTACCCCGGCATTCCGTAGGTGACCTGCCCGCCCTCGAACGCTGGCCCGGCGGGGCACGATGCTGCCACCATGCCGTGGCGGTTACCTATGACCACCTCGGTGTTGGTACCGATGTCCACCAGCATCACCGGCTCGTCCTGTTCGTCCATCCCGATGGCCAGCAGGCCGGCTGCCACATCGGCTCCCACATGACAGCCGATAAGCGGCCCGCCGTACACGTGCGCTCTGGGAAATATTCTCAACCCCATGGCCTGGGCGTTGGAACTGAGGGAGGTACCGGTCCGCGTCCCCGTCTCATGTTCCAGCTCAACGGATGACTTGTACGGCTTCACTCCTACGGACTGCACGTTGATGCCGAAGGCGATGTCCCGCATTGTGGTGTTGCCCACCAGCACGACCTCATAGATCTGTCGCCGCTGGGCGTCCACTTGGCGGATCAATTCGCCAATTTCAAAATTGATGCCCGAGATAATTGCATGCCGCAACTCGCCCCGGTTTCTCCCTACGTCGTAGGAAATCCGGTTCATGACGTCGCTCCCCCCGAATTTCTGGGGGTTCTCAAATGAGGACGTAGCGATGATCTCCCCGGATTCAAGGTCTACCAGGTTCATTGCCACGGTCGTGGTCCCAATATCAGCGGCCAACCCGAGGATCCGGCCCCGGTAGGTGTCCGTAGGCTGGCCGCCGATCGTCACCTCATCGCCGTCGCGTTGGACATGCGGGTCAGGTTTGACCTCGCGTCGTATCCCCTCGGTGAGGATGCGCGGCTGGCGGCGCAGGGGACTGAACTCAATGGTCTCGGATGGATCGGCTACGATCGCTTGGCAGGCAAGTCTGTAGTTGCCGGAGAGGAAATACTCGTCGCGGGAGTTGGGAAACAGCCCCTCCATCCCGCTGCGGACCTCCACGAGGCACTCGTGACAACTCCCTCCCCTGCCGCAGGACGTGGGCAGGCGCACCCGCATGAAATCTGCGTAGTCGAAGAGGGACTTTCCGCGGTGGGCTTGGATCTCGCGCCCGTTGAGTATCACTGGCATGGGCGCATTGTAGCAAATGAGGAACAGGTTCTGTTCAGGCCGACCGGTCAATCCCGTGGCGCGACCAAGGGCAGGGCAGCGGATACGATTGGTTTAGAGCCCTTCCGGAACTTCCCACGCCGACCGGTAGTCGAGGTCGTCACTGCCAGTGCAAGGGTACAGCCCGCCAGGAGGAACCGAACGTTCCTGGTTGCGGCAGCCGAACTGGGCCGTACATTTGTCCTGCGCGTTCTTGTACGGGCAGCGGTAAGTGGACACCAGGTTGGCGGTATCCGAGATGCCCCGGAATATCTCCGTGAGTCGCTCCACGCTTCTCCGGTACTTCTCAGGATCAACTTTCTGAGAGTCGCCCGACATCGCTTCAGCCCGCCGCGACCGCTGTCTCGACGCCCGTCTGGCTGACGAACTCCTTGGCCAAATCCACGCAGGCCATGGCGTCCTTGCCGTAGCCGTCGGCTCCCATGTCGTCGGCGAATTCCTCCGACAGCGGAGCACCGCCCACCATTATCCGCACCTCGCCGCGCAGGCCGGCCTCCTCGAACGCCTCGATGGTCCGGCCCATGTTGGGCATGGTGGTGGTCAGCAGCGCCGACATGCCCAGGATGTCCGCCTCCTTGTCCACCACTTCGTCGATGAATTCGTCCGGCTGCGTGTCAACACCGAGGTCGTGCACCACGAATCCCGCACCGCGCAGCATCATGATGCACAGGTTCTTGCCGATGTCGTGCAGGTCGCCCTTGACCGTCCCCATCACCACGGTTCCGATGGGTGCGATTCCCGATGCCGACAGTATGGGTTCGACGTGGGCCATACCTGCCTTCATGGCCCGAGCCGCCACCAGCACCTCCGGCACAAAGATTATGTTGTCCCGGAACTTGATGCCCACCACCGCCATGCCGGCGATCAGGCCGTCGTCCATGATGGTGTTGGCCGAGAACCCGTCCTCCAGGGCCTGCTGCGTCAGCCGGTCCACCTCCACGTTGTGGCCGACGATCAGCTGATAGGAGATCTCCTGCATCTGCGGGTCGGCCTCGTCCCATAGAGCGCGAATGTGGCGCTGCTCGTCCGGGTTCTCAACGTATGCCAGTTCCGATTCCAGTCCCTCGTGAACGACGGGCATCTGCTTTACCTCTGATTCTCGGCTGCTTGGATCGCTGGGGCTGAATTAGCCCGGGCGCGGCTAGTCCGTGTGCTCGGCGGTCCAATCCTTGACGGCCTGCGGAATTGCCATCAGGTTTTCGATCTTGGTGGCCAGGGGCACGGCGCATTCCGGGGCGATCATCTGAACCCCGGCATCCAGACAGCGGTACACCTCGCGCCGCACTTCCTCGGGCCCGCGAGCATACAGCGTATCCGGGTTGTTGATGTTTCCGACCAACCCGATGCCGCCGTCCACTGCCGCCATGGCCTCATGCGGGTCGTTCTTGGAGTCGAAGTGGAACGACGCCATGCCGGTCTGCGCGATGTAGGGCATCCGGTCGATGGTCCTGCCGCAGATGTGCAGGATGAGCGGCACCTTGAGGCGCTCCGCCATCTCCGCGTGAATGTCCTGCAGAAACCGCCGGTAGTAATCACCGCTCACGAGGTCGCCGGTGGCATGGTCCGGAAAGGTCAAAGCGTCGGCTCCGGCGTCGATCTGTGCCTCGCCGAAAAGGACCGACAGCTCCTTCAGCTTGTGCATGGCACGCATGGTCTCCTCGGGATTGTCCACTGTGCCCAGCAGGAAGGGCTCAACGCCGAAGACGTGATAGCCCAGCGTCCAAGGTCCCATGGTCTTGCCGATTATCGCCACCTCGTCGCCGAACTCGGCCTTCAGCTGCCGGATGGAGCCCGTAATGGCCAGCATGTCCCGTGTGCTCCAGGATGCCCGACGGGATGTGAACGTCGTCAGCGGACTTCCAGATGGGACGGTACATCCGCACGGTGGGCCAGTTGTCCTTGTCCTCCCACTGCATCTCGCAGCCAAGGGCCGAGGACTCCTGGATGATGCTGAAGTAGGGCATTATCGAGTCGAACCCCAACTCGGTGTAACCCGTTGCGGCCAGCCGCGCCGCCAGTTCCGGCTCCTGGCACGCCTGCGGAAACGGCGCGTCCACCAGGTCCATCAGCTCCACGGTTGCCACGTTGGTGGGGTTGGCCACCGGTGTCCGGTCCACCGGCTCACGGTTCAGCGCCGCCATGGTGCGCTCCCGCGGCGTCATCGTTTCAACAAAAGCCATTCCTGTCCTCTCCAGGTCGAGTCAATCTATTCCTGTATCTATCATTCTATTGAGGTGGCTCAAAGGTCTTCGGGCCTCAGCCCTGTTGCCTTGCCAATGCGAGCCAAAATTCTACGCCCTATTTCATCACGATCATGAAACGCGAAGACGTAGTCTGGCCAGCCATCTTTCGATAACGTCCTGTGTGAACCTGATTGCCTCTTGACTCTCCATCCTAGCCTGAGTAACGCTCGCAGGACCTCCTGTGCTCGCACACTGGGCCATCTGTTCATGCTGCCTTGAATGTGACGCTAATCAGCTCCGAAGCCGCTTCACCATGTTCCAACCTTTCAGCCAGGATGCGGAGGGCCAGCGCTTGCACCTTGGCGATCGCGTCTTCGGTTGATGAACCGTAGACCAGCGCTCCGGGTAATTCCAGGACCTCCGCTATCCACCGGCCATCCTCCTCTCGCTCCGTTTCAATGGTGAGCGTTTGCAGCATTCAGACACATCCTTAAACGATTACGTCTGCGAGAACCCCAGCGTCCCAGTGGTCATCTGCCCGCGCAACGCCTCGGCCGCCATCATCGTTTCCACGCTGGAAATGTTCCGCGAGTACGGCAGCAGCACCCGCATCATCGCGTCGTGCGCCATCCCGCAGGAGAATGCCACTCCAGACTCCCCTACCTGCTCCATCTCTCCGTAGCGCGTGAACCCGGCCAGCACCATCCGCAGCCGCATCGCCGCGTTGCGGGCCTCCCCCTCCAGCGACACATCGTAGACCGCTCGGCCGTCGTCGCTGCCGTCCGACAGTTCGGCGTGGATCGTCAGAGCGGATTTGGAGTCCTGGATAGACAGCGCGCCCTGCGGCGGCGCGTAGTCCGGGGCCTTGCCGACAGCCTGCGACATCACGAACCGCAGCGTGCGCTGGTGCAGAAGGCCGCAGGGGAAGCGCACCTGGTTGTGCGTGTTGCCCACCGGCTCCATGCCGCCCAGCGCGATCATCTGGTCGCGGATCTCGCGGATGCGGTCCTCCACTCCCTCGCGCTGGCTGAATGTCCAGATGGTGCAGATATCATCCTTGACGTACAGTCCGACGCTGATGTCGTGGAACCGCCGGTCCAGAGGTACCAGCTCCAGGCATTGCCCGTATCGCTTGATTACCTCGACCGGTCGCAGCCTGTCTTTCGCCAACGCCATAGTCCTCCTAACGTCCGACCGCTGCCGACAGGGCGCGGATGTGCTCCGGTCCGGTGCCGCAACAGCCGCCGATGATGTTCACACCCAGGTCGGCCAGTTCCTTGAATCGCTCTGCCATATACTCCGGTGATTCAGGGTAGACGATCTGGCCCCCCCGCATGGCCGGGATTCCAGCGTTCGAGTGGATCAGCAGATACCCGTGGGTCTCTGCCCTCATCCGCCGCGCGATGTCCACCATGTTGTCGATACCGTTGCCGCAGTTGGAGCCGACGACATGCGCTCCCGCGTCCACCATGGTTTGCACGGCCCGTTCTGGAGTAACACCCATCATGGTGAAAAACCCGCGCGGGCCCTTGTCGAAAACCATCGTCGCCATAACGACCAGTTGGGTATTTTCGCGAGCGGCACGCACCGCCAGCTCCGCTTCCTCGACGGCCGTCATTGTCTCCACAACCACGGCGTCGGCTCCTCCGGCCTCCAGCGCCTTGACCTGCTCCACGAAGGCGCCGTACATTTCGGATTCGGACACCGGTCCGAGCGGCTCCAGGAACTCGCCCGTCGGCCCGACCGAGCCAACCACGAAGCCTCCGTCGGTCGCTTGGCTCCGGGCGTGTTCGGCGGCCAGTCGGTTGAACTCGGCAACCCGCTCTCCGTAGCCATACTTTTTCTGCATGAACACGGTGCCGCCGAAGGAGTTGGTCAGAACCATGTCCGAGCCCGCCTCGAAGTATTGGCGGGCCATTTCCCGCACCACCTCAGGATGGCTGGCGTTGAATTCCTCCGGACAGCCGCCCGGCTCCAGTCCGTGCTGTTGCAGGAAGGTGCCGGTGGCCCCGTCGGAGATCAGCAGGTCTCCACGGGATAGGCGCTCAAGCAGCGCCGCCGGACCGCCGTTGTTGGTTTCACGCATAGAAGTTGAGAAAGCCAACTCGCTACGAATAATGTTTATGTCGCATTGTATGCGCCGCCCTCGCCGCGTCGCAACAAGAGTTATGCCCCGCTATGATGACCGCGCGGCGTGTGGTTAAATTGTCGCAGCCTGAATCAAGCCTGATTTGCGGGAGATTGCCCGTTATGACCAGCTACCTCTCACACTTGGAATGCACCATCTGCGGAGCCGAGTATCCGTCGGACCGCCTGTCCGGAGTCAGCCCCTGCTGTGGCAAAGTGCTCTACGCGCGTTACGACCTGCCCCGCATCCGGGCCGAGGTCGATCGCGATCGCTTGGCCGAGCGCACACCCAACATGTGGCGCTTCGCCGAGCTGCTGCCCGTAGATGACCCCGACAACATCGTGACCCTCGGAGAGGGTGGCACCCCCCTCATGGAACTGAAGAACCTCGAACAGGCGTTGGGGGTCTCAAACCTCTATGTGAAAGAAGAGGGGCTCAACCCCACAGGGACTTTCAAGGCTCGTGGTATCGCCGCCGCGATCTCAAAGGGCCTGGAGCTGGGCGCCACGGGCTTCACAATGCCGTCGGCCGGCAACGCCGCTGGCGCCGCCGCCGCCTACTGTGCCCGCGCCGGTCTCTCCGCCAAGGTCTTTATGCCCCAGGACGCGCCCGACTCCAACAAGAAGGAGTGCCTCGTCGCCGGTCCGAGCTCAACCTCGTCGACGGTCTCATCGGCGACGCGGGTCGCCAAGCCGTGGCCGTGGCCCAGGAGCAGGGCCTGTTCGACCTCTCAACCCTCAAGGAGCCCTACCGTGCCGAGGGCAAGAAGTCCATGGGCCTCGAGCTTGCCATGCAGTTCGGCTGGCGAATGCCCGAGGCGATCATATACCCCGCCGGTGGTGGCACCGGCATCATCGGGATGCACAAGGGCTTCCTGGAGCTCTTGGAGCTTGGCTGGATCAAGGGCGACCTGCCCAAGTTCATCGCAGTGCAGGCAGAGGGCTGCCAGCCCATCGTCAAGGCCTTCCACGAGGGCAAAGACACCGCCGAACCGTGGCCCAACGCCACCACCGTCGCCGACGGCCTGCGCGTCCCGGGCCCCTTCGCCGACTATCTGATGCTTCACGCCATTCGCGACACCGGCGGGACGGCGCTCGCGGTCTCCGACGCCGACATGATCGCCGCCATGTACGAGCTGGCCACCGCCGAGGGCATCTTCGCCTGCCCTGAGGGCGCTGCCACGCTGGTGGGCTACAAGCGCCTAATTGCCGAGGGCTTCCTGCGCAAGGACGAGACCACCGTGCTGTTCAACACCGGCTCAGGATACAAATACCTGCAGCTAATCGAAGGCGTTAAGGGCTAGTTAGCGCAGGACAGGATTCATTCGACAGGGTACCGCATGCGGGTTATCATAACCGCAAATTTCGGCACCCTTCATTCGTTAATCAGGAGCGTATCATGCGTCGCGTTGCCATTGTCTCACCTGTCCGCACGGCCGTCGGAAACTTCGGCGGCACCCTGCGAGACGTCTCCGCTGCGGAGCTGGCCAGTACCGTAATCAAGGAGGCCCTCGACCGCTCCGGGGTCGACCCGGCCAAGATCGACGATGTCATTCTCGGCCACGGCTATCCCAGCGGCGAGAACCCCGCCATCGGACGCCTCGCCGGGCTCAAGGCAGGCCTGCCCATCGAGGTGCCGGGCTACCAGCTGGACCGCCGCTGCTCCTCCGGCCTGCAGGCCATCCTGAACGCCAGCATGCTGGTCCAGACCGATAACGCCGACGTGGTCCTCGCCGGTGGTGTCGAGAGCATGAGCGGCGCCGAGTTCTACAGCAACGAGTCCCGCTGGGGCGCCCGTTACGGCTCCGTCACGTTCCACGACCGCCTCGCCCGTGCCCGCGTCACCATCTCCCCTGACGAGCGCTTCGGCCCCATCCCCGGAGGAATGGTCGAGACCGCCGAGAACCTGGCCCGCGAATACGAAATCGCCCGCCAGGAACAGGACGAATACGCCCTGCGCAGCCACCAGCGCGCCGTCGCCGCCCAGGCTGAGGGCCGCTTCGACAAAGAGATTGTGGGCATCCCCGTGCCGCAGCGCCGCGGCGACCCGGTCCCCTTCGAGAAAGATGAGGGCCCCCGCGCCGACACTAACATGGAGACGCTCGCCCGCCTGCGCCCGGTGATGCGCGACGGCACCGTCTCGGCCGGCAACGCCAGCAGCCAGAACGACGCCGCCTCGGTGTGCTTGGTCGTCGCTGAGGACAAGCTGGAGGAGCTCGGACTCACCCCCATGGCGTTCCTGCGCGGCTGGGCCGTGACCGGCTGCCATCCCGCAACCATGGGCATCGGCCCCGTGCCGTCAGTGAACAAGGTGATGGCGAAGATCGGCCTGTCCCTCGAGGACATGGACCTCATTGAGCTGAACGAGGCCTTCGCCGCCCAGGTGCTGGCCGTACTCCGCGAGTGGAAGCTGCCCAACGAGGACAACCTGAACGTCAACGGATCCGGCATTTCGCTGGGCCACCCCATCGCCGCCACTGGCGCCCGCATCCTGACCACCCTGCTGCACGAGATGGAGCGCCGCAATGTCCAGTTCGGCCTCGAGACCATGTGCGTCGGCGGAGGCCAGGGCGTCGCCGCCGTCTTCGAGCGCGAGTAGGCCGGGCTTCGGTTGCAGAGTGATTGTCTGAATCAGGATTATCAAGATTTTGGGATTTACAGAATTGCGTCAGTCCATCTTGATAATCCTGTAAATCCTGATTCAGACAAGACAAAGGAGAAACGAGATGGCAAGCAACCAGGACATTCCCGACGTATTGGTAATCGGCGCCGGAGCCTCCGGTGCGGCTCTTGTCTGGAGCCTGGCGGAGGCCGGCATCAACGTGCTGTGCCTGGAGCAGGGCGACTGGGTGGCCCGCGACGCCTTCCCGGCGACCAACGCCGACAGCCAGCTGCATTGGCAGACAGACTTCCACCCTGACCCCAGCGTGCGGAAGCTACCCCAGGACTACCCGGTAAACAGCGACGCCTCCCCGATTGCGCCCTACATGTACAACGCGGTTGGTGGTAGCACCGTCCACTACGGCTCCCACTACCCGCGCTTCCATCCCTCCGACTTCCGCGTGCGGAGCCTCGACGGTGTGGCCGACGACTGGCCGCTGACCTATGACGAGCTTGAGCCGTACTTCGACCTGAACGACCGGATCATGGGCGTCTCCGGTCTCCGAGGCGACCCTGCCTACCCGCCCAAGCCCGAACGGCCCTCCCCGCCGCTGTCCATCCGGCCCGGCGGCCGGGTTCTGGCCAAGGGATTCGATAAGCTGGGCTGGCACTGGTGGGCCGCCGACACCGCCATCTCGTCGGTGGAGTATGACGGCCGCGAGCCGGACTCCGGCGGCTACCTGCGCTCTCTCGCCAGTACCGACCTGACCTACTGGCCTCGCGCCCTAGAGCTTGGCGCCCAGTTGAAGACCAACGCCCGCGTCCGCGAAATCCTGGTTGACAGCTCCGGCAAGGCCACCGGCGTCCTGTACTACGATGCCGACGGCAACCTGGTCGAGCAGAAGGCCAAGTCGGTGGTGATGGCCTGCAACGGCATCGGCACTCCGCGCCTGCTGCTCAACTCCACCTCGCCCCTGTTCCCCGAAGGACTGGCCAACAGCAGCGGCCTCGTCGGCAAATGCCTGATGCACCATCCCGCAGGCGTCGTGGTCGGCGTCTTCGACGAGTGGCTTGGCACCGAGGACGGCTTCCCCCGCGGCAGCACCATGCTCAGCCAGGAGTTCTACGAGACCGATACCAGCCGGGGTTTCGTGCGTGGCTACGACCTGCAGATCCTGGCCCTCGGCGGCTCGCCGCTGCCCACCGCCCTCGGCGGTCTGCTGGGAGAGCGCATCCCGTGGGGCGAGGGACACCACCAGGCCTTCGACGAGCGCTTCGGCCACACCGTAGGCATAACCATCATGACCGAGGACTTGCCCGAGGAGCATAACCTGATCTCTCTCGACCCCAACGAGACCGACAGCAACGGCATCCCGGCCCGTAAAGGTGGAGTACACCGTAAGCGAGAACACCAACCGCATGCTCGACCACGGCGTCGAGCGTGCCAGGGAAGTGATGGAAGCAGCCGGCGCCAAGCAGATCCTCACCTCCCGCCTGCGCCGCAACGCCGGCTGGCACCTGCTGGGAACGGCCCGCATGGGCACCGACCCCGGCAACTCGGTGGTCGATCGCTGGGGCCGCTGCCACGACGTTCCCAACATGTTCATAGTCGATGGCAGCATCTTCACCACCAGCGCCTGCATCAACCCCACGTCGACCATCCAGGCACTGGCCCTCCGCACCGCCGACTACCTGAAGGGCGAAGGCCGCGACTCTATCAGGTAAATGCGCTGTTCGGCACTGGACGGAACGTTGTTCACTACGTTGTAGGGGCGGGTTTGAAACCCGCCCCTCTTTCCTTCATCGGTCCGATCGGCATATGAATACCCGTTGCGCAACGCCGTGTGCTGACATTCGAGGCTTGAGAATCACCTCTTAAACGCCGTAGGTCCTATAAGTCGTAATTCCCGCGCAGGCGGGAATCCAAACCCCCGTCTACCCTTGCACCCGGAACCGAAGGAGGCACTGCCACTCCCATCTCCACCGCCATTCAGGCCAATTTTGTGTGCAGAGTAATAACGCGCGATTGGCCTGACACTCGAGGCTTGAGAATCGCCTCCCGCTGTTGTATGCTAGATGATATGTTCTATACAATCTGCCTCGAACTCGCTGCCACGGTCTTTGCAGGATTCTAACTGCGATGCCTCAGAAGGCTCGGAGGGCCTGGAATGACTGGAATTTGAGCGGAAATGAGCGGAATTATGAAAAAAGTTGACAGTGGATCATATCGGACGCTGCGGGAGCATCTCTTTCGCCAACTCCACGGCAGTCCACAAGAGTCCTTCCAGAGACTCAGGTTCGTGGGAAATTGCCCACAATTGCACAGAAATGCACACTTTGCTGGGTGCGCCCTGTCCGGTGCCACATCGTATTGAGACACCACCCTGGCGCCTGCTCCGCGCACGTCCTGCCGTCGACCTGCTCCGCATCCGGGACATCCGGTCCGGGAATTCGGGAGCTCCCGACAGGCTTTTGGCCAGCGACTCTGGCAACATCCTGTAGACCCGAGCACCAGGGGCTCGCCCGTTGACACCCCAATAGGGCGGGCTTACGATTACCCGTGCTCGTCGCCCCCTGCGTAAGCGAATTCAGACAGGGCTGCGCGGCTCGGCAAATCCGCAATGAAAGGATGTAGAAAATGCCAGAAGTTTATGGCGAAGGTGACTTTCGATACGAATTCGTCGAGGACTGGGCCAAGCTCCCCGACGGCAGCAATTTCCAGGAATGCCCCGGCGTTGCCTGCGACTCCAACGACAACGTCTTCGTGCTGACCCGCGGCAAGAACCCCATCATGGTCTTCGACCGCGACGGCAACTACATGCGTTCCTTCGGCGAGGGCCTGTTCAGCGACAACCGTACCCACGGCCTCTACATCGGCCACGACGACTCGGTGCTGGCTGCCGATGATGGCATCCACACCATCCAGAAGTTCAGCGCCAACGGCGAGAAGGTCTGGGAGCTGGGCAACCGCAACAACCCGGCCCCGCGCTGGAGCGGCGAGCCCTTCAACCGCCCCACCTCCGCCGCCACCAGGCCCAGCAACGGCGACATCTACGTCTCCGACGGCTACGGCAACTCCCGCGTCCACGTCTACAGCAGCGATCTCGAGTACAAGTTCTCCTGGGGCGAGCCCGGCATCGACGCCAGCCAGTTCATCCGTCCCCACAACATCGCCTTCGACAGCAACGACCGTGTCTACGTCGTGGACCGCGAAGCCCACCGCATCCAGATTTTTGACGCCGAGGGCAAATTCATAACCATGTGGAGCAACATCCACCGCCCCGACTCCATGGTCCTCTGGGGCGAGCACATCTACGTCGGCGAGCTCAACGGCATGGGCGGCGTTGACGACGCCCCCGGCCTCGGCCACCGCGTCAGCATCTACGACCTCGATGGCAACCGCGTCTGCATGTTCGGCGACAAGGACGAAGGCGAGGGCGGCGGCCAGTTCATCGCCCCCCACGGCATCGCCGTAGACTCCCACGGCGACATCTACGTCGCCGAGGTCTCCTACACCATTCGCGGCCAGCACATGAACCCGCCCCGCGAGCTCCGCTCTCTCTCCAAGTACCGCCGGGTGTAGCCGAAACAACGGTATAGGCGCGCCGTTGGCTTCAACGGCGCGCGGTTAGTCCGGACCCCGAAAGAGGTCAATGATGGTAAATGTAGAAGTTTTCGTTGCGGCTTTTTCGGCCCTGGCAGTGATATTCGCCGGAGCGTTCTACTGGATTCTCTCAGAATTCCGAACTGTGAAACAGGATATACAAGCCGTACGGAATCAAAGTCTGGAAGAAAACCGTGCGCTACGGGATGAACTGCGCCAAGAAATCAGAGACAACACGCAGCGGATTCTAGATGCCATTTACTTCCACCGCCACGACCCCGACGGCACGGTAGCGCTCCGTCCACCCACTCAGCAGGCAGCGGACTGAGTATCGAAGTTATGACCACACCCGACCTCGCAAAAAATCGAACGAGTCGACCTGCGCGAAGCTTGGGCTCACGAGGCCTATAATTTTACCCCGTGGCTGGCTAAGAACATTGCCGAGTTGAGCGTAGCGCTGGGGATGAACCTAGAGTTCCAGGAAGGGGAGGCACCAGTAGGTGGATTTTCTCTAGACATACTCGCGACCGATATAGACCAGAACCGCACGGTCATCATTGAGAACCAACTGGAGACCACGAATCACAGCCATCTAGGTCAACTCCTCACATACGCCGCCGGGTATGATGCTAGCGTCATTGTGTGCCTGACGGGCGACTTCCGCGACGAACACCGGGCGGCGCTGGACTGGCTGAACCAGCGTACAGGGGAGGATACAGAATTTTTCGGTGTCGTGGTCGAGCTATGGCGGATTGGTGATTCGCTACCGGCACCTCACTTCAAGCTGGTTGCTACGCCCAACGAATGGCGCAAGTCGCAAGTCCGGACAAATCCTTTGTCCCCTCGCGAGGAAATTAGCCGTGGCTTTTGTCTGAGTCTGGCGGAAAAGATGAAGTCTAGCGGAATTTTCATACGCGCATTTAGAAGCCAAAGCTCTGCCCGATACCTCGTCATTGAGCATGCGATACAACGCGCTTGGTTCGCGGCAATATGGCACAGCGGTAACCCCGGCCTTGAACTCTATATAGACAAAAGGGGGGCCGAAGGTCCCGAATGGAACCGGACCGTCTATCAGACATTAGAGCAGAGTAGAGATAGAATTGAGGAGGACTTGGTGGACTCCGAGTTTGGCGAGTGGTCTTCCTGGGAACCTGATACAGGAAGCAGACGACACTGTCGGGTAGCAATTTACCGCACAGGCGATGTCTTACAAGACAAGGAATCTTGGGCCGACTTTCAGGAATGGATGATCCAGAAACTCCACAAGTTCCGCCAAGTGATAACGCCACGCTTGAAAGAATTTTCCACACAGGAGCAATCAACCCTTGAGTGAAATCGGCGAAACTACAACCGTCCAGTGGGACAGCGCCCTCGAGGCCATCGAACGCTGCTATGAGCTGGCTGGACCGACGGGACTCCCCGTCGTCCGCCCACCGAGGCCCGCGTCGCGGAGTTCATCGAGCGCACCGGGCGCCCTTCCGGCGAGGCTGTCGGCGAGCTGCCCGAGCGACGCCGCGAGATCACCGTCGGGAAGGTCGCAGCCAACGCCGTGATGGCCGGATGCCTGCCTGAGTACATGCCCGTGGTGCTGACCGCCACCGAGGCCATGCTCGACCCGCTTTTCAACCTCGTCGGCCCCTCCTCCAGCATGGGCGGCTCGGCCATCCTGACCATCGTCAACGGCCCTGTGGTGCGGGAGCTGAACATCAACGCCCGCAACAACCTGTTCGGGCCGGGCAACCGCGCCAACGCCACCATCGGGCGGGCCATACGCCTCATCCTGATGAACGCCTGTGCCGCCATCCCCGGCGTGTTCGACCGCAGCGTCATCGGCCACCCCGGCAAGTACACCTACTGCATTGCCGAGGCCGAGACCGAGACCCACTGGGCGCCACTGCACGTCGAGAGGGGATTCCAGGCTGAGCAGAGCACGGTAACGGTCTTCGCCGGTGAGTCGCCCCGCCAGGTCCGCTCCGTGGGCCGCCCTGAGCCGATTCTGCTGGCCATAACGGATGCTGCGTCCTCCCTCGGCACCAACATGTCCACCTCGGGATCCGTGGGCGAGACAGGCACTGGCGTGCGTCAGGGCCAGATCGTGGTGACCATCGCTGGCAATTCAGGCCTCTGGAGGGACTGGACCAAGGAACAGGTCCGGGACTTCATATTCCAGCGCGCCCATCGCTCCGTCGCCGAGCTGAAGCAGGCAATGGTGCTGGCGGGCGACCCCGAACCCGGCGATGAATCAACCCGTGTCCCCTTGATCCCTGATCCCTCCGATATACTCCTCGTCTTCGCCGGGGGCGAAGAGGCGAACATGTCATCGGTGATCCCCAGTTGGGGTCCGAAGGTGGGCAGCACAGCGGTGACCAAGGTGATAAACTGACCACCAATTAACATTCAGACCCGTCTGCGAACTCTTGAGATAGAGAAACTCCACCGTTAGGAGAGAGCCATGGTCCAGACGAACGAGCATGTCCTGGTCAACCCGGTAACTCAGCCGGTGATCGCCCCATTCAACGGTGCGCCGCGCCTGGCCAGCCTCGCCGGTACCCGGCTGGGGTTGATCGATGACAGCAAGCGCAACGCCGATGTGTTGCTGGAGGAACTGGCAGAGGTGCTGCGCACTCGATACGAGATCGCCAGCATCAAGTGGCTCCGCAAGCCCAGCGCATCCCGGCCAGCGGACCCAGTGGCCCTGTCGGAGTTGGTTGAGGAGAGCGATTCCATCATCATAGCGATAGGTGATTGAGGGTCCTGCAGCGCGTGCAGTGTGCACGACGGAATCCACGTTGAGAACGCCGGCATCCCCTCGGCCACCATATGCACCGACCGGTTCGTACCCACGGCCACCGGCATGGCCCGGATGTGGGGCGCGCCGGACTACCCGACAATCTACACCGAGCACCCCATCGAGAACCTCAGCCGCGAGGCACTGCGGACCCGCGCCGAGGGCCTGGCTCCCCTCGTGGTGCAGGTCCTGACCGGCGAGGGCTAAGCCGGACCTCTGTCAATCAGGCACTTGGGGCGCTGGCTCGAATAGGAACTCCGCGCCCCACGATTATCATCGCTCCGCCCTGGTCGGATGAAGGCGTGAGGTGTCTACGCCAGTTGCCTTCGCAGTTCCGGCGGCAGCAGGTTCGGTATCGTGTCCTCGATGGGATACGATTCGTCGCAGGCCGCGCAGAAAAGAGAGCCTGTTACCACCTCGTCGCCATCTTCCTCTTCAACCGTCAATTCCAGCACGCCCTTGCAGACGGGGCAGGCCAGTATCTCCATCAAATCCTTCTTCAAGTTCGACTCTCCTCTCGTCTCCGAAACATCAGGTAACCGGCGCGTTTTCGATCAGGGCGTCCAACACATCAGAGAGCCCAATGACCGCTATGCCAATAACCAGCAGCGCCATTGGACTGGATACCCGCCGTGCGGCTCGCCGAAGCCAATTGCTGCCTTCATCCTGCTGCCCTGCGTAGTCGCCACGCCTGACGATTCGCACCGCGTAGAACATGTACAGGGCCAGCGCGATCTTGACCCCGAGAACGATCGCGTAAGAGACCGTCGCCGCCTCGCTTGTCAGCCTGGCCACCGAAAGGATCGCGCCCGTCAGCAGGAGCACCATAATGGCCGTGGTCACCAGTCCACGAAACTCGTCCCGTATGGCCTCGCCGGTGTCTGGCGGCACCCCCTGCGTACGACGAATGGCCGGACGCAGCACCAGCAGGTAGAATGCGCCGCCACCGACCCAGGCCACCGCCGCCAGCGCGTGTCCCCATCGAAAGATGACCAAGATCCAGTCTAATACACCCATATAGCCCTGACGCTCGGCCCGTCCCCCGAAAGATGCTCTTCTGAGCCCTCAGTCATTTAACAGGTCTCGCACCTTGGCGGTGATCCGCTCCTCGTCAAGGGCCCCGGAGTGAGTTGATGCGACCCTGCCGCCCCGGTCAATGAACCAAGTCGTCGGGTAGAATTCGATCTGGTAGGCCGAGGAGATAGTCTCGCTGCGGTCGGTCGCGAAATCAAAGGTCAAGCCCAACTCGTCCACGAATTCCCGGGCGGAATGCTCCGTGTCAAACCCCAGCGGGACGAAAACTCCGAGGAAGCGGAACTCATCACCGTCCAGTTCCTCCCAGGCCTTCTGAAATTCCGGCATTTCCTCGCGGCAGGGGGCGCAACTGGGGTACCAGAAGTTGACCACCACCACGTTATCGTAGTATTGCTCGGAAAGCTGGAATCGCTCGCCGTCGAAAAGCTCGACCTCGAAGTCCTGCGCCACTTCCGCCCCGTTGCAGGACACGATAATGAGCAGCGCCAAGAGAAGGGGGAGCCTGCTGGCATCGTTGTGTAGGCGAAGCATAATTTACTGGAGCCGTGCGGCAATGCCACAGCATTCTATCTGTGGAGGTCCCGCCTTTCAACGACGCATTTCCGTTCTCCTTGACTCAATTGGGCCATCAACTAAAATCTGGACAGCGTTGGATATCCTGAGACTGACTTACGAGAGGTTAATTATGAGATTGGAAAACAAGGTTGCGCTGATCAGCGGCGGCGCCCGGGGGATGGGAGCTGTGGAGGCTAAACTGTTCTCCAGGGAGGGCGCCAGGGTGGTCATTGGCGACGTGTTGGAGGACGAGGGGCGCCGCACCGAGGCCGAGATCAACGAGTCCGGCGGAGAATGCGTCTTCGTCCACCTCGACGTGACCAGCGAGGAGTCCTGGCAGGCGGCGGTCAGCCAGGCCGTTGAACGCTTCGGCAAGCTGGACATCCTGGTGAATAATGCCGGGATCTACCGCACCAACAACGTGACCGAGACATCGTCCGAGGAATGGGACCAGGTGATGGACATCAACGCCAAGGGCGTGTTCCTTGGCACCAAGGCCGCCATACCTGCCATGAGGGACAACGGCAGCGGCTCCATCGTCAACATCTCATCGGTTGCCGGACTGGTCGGGAACCTGATGTCCTCGGCCTACACTGCCTCCAAGGGTGCCGTGCGGCTCCTGACGAAGTCGACCGCCATCCAATATGCCCGGGACGGCATCCGCTGCAACTCCGTGCACCCCGGCACCATAGTTACCCAGATGACCGCAGGTATGCTGGCCGACGATTCATACCGGGAAGACCGCATAAACCGGACTCCCATCGGCCGCCTCGGCACAGCGGAAGACGTGGCGTTTGGTGTGCTGTTCCTGTCCTCCGACGAAGCCTCTTTCATGACCGGTTCCGAGCTGGTCATCGACGGCGGACGCACCGCCGAGTAGCCGGCGGTGGCATTGAAGCCGCCTGAGGCGATAGTTCAAATACGCAGGGGTGCACACCAGTGCGCCCCTTCTGCCTCTGGGATCTTTCCCCGGATCGAATAAGGGTCGATGGCCTCGCCCCTAGCGGCCCATCGCATAGCCGTCGCGGCGAGGGTCGGCACCGCCGCTGAGGCCACCGCGCTGCTGGTCGACCTGCACCGCGCAGAGGCATCCCATTCGTGGCGTGAAATCGTCCCACACCTCGACCTTATGTCCCAGGCGGGACAGCTCGGACACCACGTTCGAGTCCATCCGGCCCTCGACTCCCACGAGGCCGGGGTGATAGGCGTGGGGCCAGAATGAGTTGGGGAAGCTCCAGGTCGAGAACCGCGGCGCCTCCACCGCCTGCTGCACGTCCATGCCGAACTCCACCACGTTCAGGAACAACTGGACCATCGACTGCGGCTGCACGTCGCCACCCGGCGTTCCGAAGGGCATCAGTGGCTTGCCATTCCGCATGGCCAGCGCGGGATTCGGAGTCAGGCGGGGGCGCTTTCCCGGGACGAGGGCGCTGGGGTGCTGCGGGTCCAGCCAGGACTGGGAACCCCGGGAGGACGCGATGAACCCCAGACCGGGGATGATGGGCGAGGTGCCGAAGCTGTCGCTGGGAGTGGCCGAGAAGGCGTTGCCCCAGCGTCCACCACGCTGGCATAGCTGGTGTCCGCGGGCAGACCGCCGGCCACGAGGTCAGGCCTCGCCGGATGTCCGTTGCGGGCTGGCATGCCTTGGTGAGGCCACGGGTCGCCCGCAAGCGGCATCTCGGGGGCAGCACGCGACCGGTCGATGGCTCCCCGTCGTTCCTCAGCGTATGAGTTGGACAGCAGCCCCGCTATGGGCACGTCTACGAAGTCGGGGTCGCCGTAGTAGGCCTCCCGGTCGCTGAAGGCCAGCTTGAGCACCTCGATCACCGTGTGGGCGTATGCCGCTGTGTTGTGCCCCAATCCTCGCAGGTCAAATCCTTCCAGGATCTTCAGCGTGTGCAGGTTCATAGGCCCCTGGCACCATGGACCGCAGGCGAAGACCTCGATTCCCTTGTAGTCGATTGAGGGCGGAGTATCGATACCAACGCCGAACTCCGCCATGTCCTCCATAGTGAGCAACCCACCCTCGCTCTGGACAAAGCGGACGATTTCCTCTGCGATCTCTCCCTTGTAGAAGAAATCCCGGGCCGCCTGCAAGGCAGCCTCCCGGCCCTGTCCGGCGTGGTCCCGCTCGACCTCGATGAGCCTGTGGAACGTCCGGGCCAGGTCTTTCTGGACCAGGATGTCTCCGATGTCGGGACGGCGCCCGCCAGGGAAGAAAACCTCGGCGGTGGACGGCCAGCGTCCATCGCCATCCGAGTCGCCGATGAGAGAGTCGCCGGTGCGGGCCAGGGCCGACTGCAGCGTTGCCGGGATGGGGAACCCTCCCTCCGCCAGCTCCAGCGCCGGAGTGACCACCTGCTCGAAGGACATCGTGCCGTAGAGCTTCAAAGCGGTGATCCAGGCATCGGCCGCCGAAGGTGTTACAGTGCGCAGCACCCCGGGCGGCAGCTCACCCCCGCAGTTCTGGTTGAAGAAATCGATGCTTGCGGCCTTGGGCCAGCGCCCCAGCCCACTGATGGACTTGGTCTCGCCGCTGGCCGCGTCGTGAATGATGATTGGCGCAACACCGCCAAAGCCAGTCCACTGCGGCAGCGTGACGTTGATCGCGATGCCCGCCGCCACACCGGCGTCGATGGCGTGCCGCCCTGCTCGAGGATCCGGAAACCCGCCGAGGTGGCAAGGTAGTGGCCGCTGGAAACCATGTGTTGAGCTCCGGTCATCAAGGGCCGATATGTACGAATTCCAATGGCCAAGGTTCACCTCCGCAGTTCCAGTTTTCGCCGTCAGAGCCGAGCGCAGCAGCACAACGCTATGCGCATCGGGAGTTGCTCGGTATGATATGGACGTGGTTTGGGGGTGTCAACAAAGTCAGGACTGGCTCCAGGGCTGTCGCGTTTGGCTGGAGTGATTCCGTGGCCTACGGTGAATCGAGTAGAGCTATTCGACAGATGCGGACCTGCGGAGGGGAATACGGTTTCACCGTGGGGAAAATTTCCCACTCCTGTCCCATTTTGTCCCAATTTGTCCCAAAATCACGTTCCGTCGTATCTGAGGTGTGTCCAATTTGACCAAAAATTGTGATTCCCGCACCATTCTGTCCCATTTTGTCCCACCCGGTCTTTCCAGCCTGTTCGCAGATGACCCGACGGCCCTGCCGTCAGCCGGAAATACGAAAGGGCAATGTGTGTAGCATCAGGCATACAGAGATATGGTACGGGGGCCTCATGAGGCTTGGCAAGCGGCAAATGTAATCAAAAGATCCGAATGCCATTGCCCCGAGTCTCCGCCAGGGATCGAAGCAATCAACAGCATCGTCGCTAGAGTATGCGAGGATAAGGTACGGGAGCGCCAGGAGCCTTGGGATGCAGCAAAAGCCGGAATGCCAGCCCGATGAGGTCGCCCTGGCCCGTCCCAGACCTCCCCGCCAAACCTGTGAAAATTCGAGTTTGCAATGTTAATCGAAGTAGAAGTCATCGCCGGAGACAACAGCCCGCTGGACCTGCACCGCATGTTCGACCTGCTGGAGGATCCTCGCTCTGTATCCAGGGTGCTGGCTCCCGACCCGATGGGTGAGGACGTCTGGTGCGACGTAACGGGCTGGAATGACGGCGGACCGAGCCCAGCCATGGCCGCGTTGTCCGAAGACTCGGGCGAGGGCGTGGTCCTGCTGATCTACGGCGGGGATGAAGGGGTACGCCTGAGGCCGGTGGATGCACATGGCGACTGGGACCTGGCCGACCGCGGTCAATGGGGTGAGGCCTGCCTGATGCTTGGCAAGGACGCGAGGGTCGAGTAGCCCGGTCGCCGGGAGTTCAGAACACCGGCGCAGTTAGCTCCCGCACCAGGTGATTCAGCGCCTGCTCCAGGATCGGGCCTTCGTCCCAACTCCGCAGATCCAGGGCCACGCCGTCCCTGAGACCCTTGCAGAGGCGGTCCTGCCGCTCGTAGAACGCCTCGCCCGCCCCAAGAGCAATCAGGCCGGCGGAAGCTCCCGGACTGACAGACCGGGCAAGTACGGCAAAGTACCGGCTGGTCTGTGGGTTCTCCAGCGCGGCGTCGGTGCAGAGCAGGGCCAAGCGGTCGTAGTAGACGATGTGGTCCAGCGACGCCTCTCCGGTGTTTAGCGCTCCCTCGTCATCGGCGTAGAGGGCCCAGGCGGGTATATGGGCCCGCGACAGGTCTTCGCAAAGCCGTTCCGCCAAGGCGGAATCCGCCATCGAACCGATCAGCAACACTGTCGGGTACGTCCTGCGTTCCGCAGTGAGCACGTCCTGGGCGGCGATCAAAGGCTCGGCTACGCCCGCCCCCTGGAGGAAAAGCCGGGGGATTCGGCCTCCCGAGCGGGCCAGCGTGTCCAGGGATATGCTGCTGGGAGCCCCGTGGAGCATCGTGTCCAGCCCGATGACGAGGCGTAGGTCGCAGTTGGAGAACATGGTGCCGCCTGCGGTTGCGCGGTGCAGGATCGTGCTGTCCATGCTGGACTTGATGAATCGTGCTCCCCTGAGGTCTGCCCCGGTAAGGTTGGCCATCATCAGCGAGGCGGTCGTCAGCGTGGCTCCCCGGAGGTTGGCGTTGGCCAGGCTCGCCCAGGAAAGGTCCGCCGCCGTCAGGTCTGCTCCGCTGAGGTCTGCGCCCTCAAGGTCGGCGTATGGCAGGCTGGCGTAGGAAAGGTCCGCACCCTTGAGCACTGCGTGCCGTATGGTCGCATTGGACAGGTTGGCCCTTCCCAGGGAACTGCCCGCCAGCATCGCTCCGGTGAAGTTGGCGCGCGGCATGATGGCTCGAAAAAGATGCGCCCCTGTCAGGTTGGCCCCGGACAGATCGGCTGTCCGAAGATCGACGCCCGTAAGATCGGCTCCACTGAGGTCATCGTGACGAAGATCCGCGCTGGGCAGCTTGATGCCGCTGAGGTAAGAGCCGGAAAGGTCCAGGGATGGGCGCCCGTAGATGAACTCCGGGGTGAAGGTCTCGCTGGCGGCCCGGTCCTCAAGACGGTAGCCCAACGCGAACCGGGGAACCTGTTCATTGGGGCTGCGGAAGGTTAGCTCGCGCCACCGGGCTATGGCACTGGGCCCAGAACGAGCAAGGCTGACGTGATCCGCGTCTGCCAACTGCTAAACCTCTAGGCCCTCGGAAGCAATGAGGGCACAGCATTCGGGTAGCACCTGAATGATTCGTTGGCTCTGTTGCGCTCCAGCTTCAAACGCTTCTCACCCACGCCCTGAGAAGGCTGGCATCACTTCGCGGGAGAAGATTTCCAGCTGGTTGCTCAGCTCGTGCCAGGGCATGCCCTCCGGCCACTGCAGCACGACGTCCTCCAGCCCAGGGTACTTTTCCTCCAGCTCCCGGAAGGTCTCGATGAACACTTCGGGCGGCCCGCAAATCCAGGCCTTCTGCTGCACCCCGTCCTCAACCGTCGGCGTACGTGCCGGAGCCCCGGGGGAACCCCACATCCGACCCTCTTCGTCGACATAGCGCACCAGGCCGAAGGGGGCGAACCACTTGTAGCGCTCGTCGTGGAAGGGACGCACCCTCTCCACTGCCTCCTCCACTGAGTCGCCGAGGAAGAAGCCGAACCCCAAGGCCATGTCCTGCCCCAGTTTCAGATCGCGCCCTGCTTCTCCCGCGGCCTTATGGTAGGCGCCGAAGAACTGCTCGACGATTCTCTCTCCGCTGAGGGCGGTCATTCCCTTGATGCCCTTCTTTGCGATGAACTCGATGGTCCTTCCGCTGGTCACCGGCTGCCAGATATCCACAGGACGGTTCAGCGGGCGAGGCACCAGCGTTATGTCTTTCAGCTGGTAGCCCCTGTAGGGCACGTCGGGCGGAATCTGGTAATACTTGCCCTGGTGGCTGAAGGACTCCTCGTTGAACGCCTTGAGGATGATTTCCACCTGCTCCTCAAACAGCTCGCGGTTGGCGTCCTGGTCCAGGAGCGGCGCACCGAAGGTCTCAACCTCGCGCGTCTGGTAACCGCGCCCGATGCCGAACACCAACCGGCCGCCGGTAAGCACATCGCCCATGGCGAAGTCCTCGGCCAGCCTAAGTGGATGCCACATCGGGACGATGTTGAATGCGGCGCCGAATTTCAGGTTCTTGGTATGGGCGGCGAGATGGACACCCAGCAGGGTCAGGTTGGGGATGCACTCGTATCCCTCCCGCTGGAAGTGGTGCTCTGCGGCCCAGAGACAGTGGTAGCCGGACTCGTCCATCTGCTTGGCAAGGGCCATGGCGTGGTCGAGAGACTGTACCAGCTGCTCGTTGGAATATCGGCGCGCGTCCGGATTGCGTCCGTCGGCGCCAACGTCTTCAAGGTCTATCTGACCCACATACAATACTGAGAAACGCTTGATCATCTGCCTGTCTCGGGAAATTCTGGAATGCGTGGGATTATCCGCACAGCGAACAAGTATAGCATGACAAATTGGTCTATCCGCCCGCCGCCACGCCCCGCGCCAGCAGGCCGTCGATCTGGATGGAGGTGTACCCCAGGGACGCCAGAACTTCGGCGGTGTGCTGCCCGGTAACCCCTCCCGGATGCCGGACCTCGCCGGGGGTGTCAGACAGGTGGAAGGGGATGCCAGGCTGGGTCACTTTGCCTTCTGGCACGCCAGGCGTCTCCAGTTCCACCACCATGCCCCGGGCCAGCGCCTGCGGGTCCGTGAGGGCCTCTTCAAGGTCGTAGACCTTGCCCACCGAGATGTTTGCGTCCCGAAGTGCCTCGAACCACTCCTCGCGGGTCCTGGTGAGGAAGATCGCCTCGAGGGTGCTGGCAATCTCCGCCCGCTTCTCCTCGCCTGCGCTCTGGTGCGGTATCAGGTCCTCCCGTCCGATGGCGCGGCACAGGTTCTCCCAGAACCACGGCTCAATGGCCGCTATCGAGAAATACTTGCCGTCGGAAGTGCGGTAGACGTTGTAGAAGGGCGACCCGCCGTTGAGCCGGTTGCCTCCCCTGGTGGCCCGGTATCCCTGCGAGAGCGCGTCGGCAATGAGGCCGCAGAGCATGTACAGCACGCCCTCGGTCATGGCGATGTCCACGTACTGGCCGCGGCCAGTCTTTTCCCGGGCCATCAGGGCCGCCAGGATGCCCACGGCGCCGCACAGCCCGCCGCCGGCGTAGTCTGCGACCAGGTTCAGCGGGATCACCGGCTTGCCGTCCGGAGAGTCCCCGATCAGCCCAAGGGCCCCGGCGAATGAAATGTAGTTTATGTCGTGCCCCGCCATCTGCGAGTATGGCCCTGTCTGCCCGTATCCGGACACCGAGCAATATACGGCGCGGGGGGTTGATCTCCTTGACCTGCTCGTAGCCCACTCCCAGCCGGTCCACCACGCCGGGGCGGAATCCCTCCACCACCACGTCGGCGTCGGCGGCCAGCCTGCGGAACACCTCCAGCGCCTCCGGTTCCTTCAGGTTCAGGGCGATGCTGCGCTTGTTGCGCTGCAGTGCGCTGAAGGATGCATGGCGCCGCTCGTCCTCCGGGGTTTCGATGCCGGCAACGATGCGCTCGTAGGCGGCCCGGGTTTCGTCCATCGGACGCTCCACCATCAGCACCTCGGCTCCCAGGTCTGCCAGTATCATTGTGGCAAACATCCCGGGGGCGTTGCGGCAAAAGTCGAGTACTTTGATTCCTTCAAGGGCCAGCATGGGCATCCCTCCGACAGTGAGTGAACCGGGCTTGATTATAGACGGAGCTTCGCCCTGCCCCCCCAACTCTCAACCATGAGTGGGACAGAGCACTGCCAGATTTCCCGGGGGACGAAAATTGTTTGTCCCCATAGCTCCGGGGGAAGAACTGAGGGAAGAGCTGTGGATATGTACCGACAGCCCAGGCGACTCACCACACCGCCGCTTCTTGAGCATCACTGACATTTGCCCATTGCCAGCCTTGGCAATGGGCCTGTATTATCGTATAAGACCATTAGTTCTCAAAGCCTGCTTTGTTGGAGAGGCTCCTCCCATTGAGACCCGCGAAGCTCGTAGTCCACAACCACCACCCACGTCGGTCGCGCTTCACGCTCAGTCCGGATCTACCCGGCACCGGCGAACCAATGAGTGGAAATGCTCGGAAATGCTCGGAAATGAGCGGAATATTTCAATTTCTGACCTCTCTCGCCGCCGCAGCCTGGATTCTTGGGGCCCCAATTGAGACCCAACTGGCTGGCAATCGCCCTGACAACGGCGTGAGACCTGCAAGGGGCCGTTGAACCGGGTCGTTGGCTGAGCCGGAATCATTGGGACTGCCATGCAAGGCCGCCAGTGCCGCACTATAATCCCCGCAGACAATTCCAACATCAAAGGAGAGAGTCATGGATTTAGGGCTGCAGGGCAGAGTAGCAATGATCACCGGAGGCAGCCACGGCCTGGGCTTGCAGGCCGCGAGCGCCCTGGGACGTGAGGGATGCAAGGTCGCCGTCTGCGCCCGCGGCGCGGACCAGCTCGAGGCAGCCCGCGCCGAACTGGCCGGGGCGGGAATCGAAGCCATCGCTGTCCAGGCCGACGTCACCAACAACGACGACCTCGCGCGGTTTCATAACGAGACCAGGTCGGCTCTCGGAGAATGCGACATCCTGGTCAACAACGTGGGGGGCCGGCGCGGCACCACAGACTTTCAGGAAAACAGGTATGCAGCTCTTCCGCGAGGGCATGGAGGTCAACCTGTTCAGCGCCGTGGAGTTGGTATCGCTGGTGCTGCCCCACATGCGTGACCAGAAGTGGGGACGCATCATCAGCATCTCGTCCATCTATGGACGCGAGTACGGTGGTTCGGTGGACTACATGACCGCCAAGGCCGGCCTGATCGCCTTCTCCAAGCATCTGGCCCTGAACCTCGCCCCCGAGAACGTGCTGGTCAACTGCATCGCCCCGGGCTCCATCGACTTTCCGGGCAGCACCTGGGACCGGTTCCAGCAGAACAACACGCCGGAAGTCGTCGACGAGTTCATCTCCCGCAACCTTCCGGCCGGCAAGTTCGGCTGGCCCGAGCCCATCGGCGAGACCGTCGCCTTCCTCGCATCGGAGCGCGCCGACCTCATAACCGGCACCTGCCTCAACGTCGATGGCGGCCAGTCCCGCTCGCTGTTCTAACCGGCAGCGACACGGCTCAACCAGGAAAAGCAGAGGGGCGCACAACCGTGCGCCCCTTGATTCTCCTCACCCGTGCTTCGCGCCTCACAATGACCGGGCGAACTCCATCCACGCCTGCACGCACTCCTTGCGGGGCAGAGTGCTGCACGTATCCGCTGGTCCCCGGGATCACACGCAGGCGTCCGTTGGGCAGCAGGGACACCATGCCGGTGGTGCGGTCGGGGTTGTCCCGGGCATTCTGTTCCGAGGCCAGCACCAGTGCGGGCGTCTGAATCCTGCCCAGCGCCTCGGTCAGGTCCTGCTGCGACAGGTACGCCAGTGTCTCCATAACCACCCTGGCCTCGGTCTGCGCCATCTGGCCGTTGTACCAATCCTGGTGGGCCGAATCAGCGTGACCGGATTCCAGGCGGCGCTCCGAGGTCTTCCGCACCCAGGCCTCGACGCCTTCGTCCCGCACCAGGTTGTAGGAGTCAAAGGTAGGTCGGATTTCCAACGAACTTGTAGGGTGAAGTGCAGGTGGTGACGGAAAGCAGCCGCTCCGGGTATTCCGACGCGAACTGCATGGAAATGGTGCCGCCAACCGTCTCGCCGATGAGATGCACCCGCTCCAGCCCAAGATGGTCGAGCAGGCCACGGATGTCGGCAGCGAAGTTGCTCAAAGACCAGTCGTACCCCTCGGGCGGCACGGACGACCGACCAAACCCCCGAGCCTCCAACCGCACCACGCGGTATTGGCGCGCCAGCAACGGCACCCACGCGTACCATAGGCGCGCGTTCTTGGCGTTGCCGTGGTGCAGCACCACCGTTTCGGACGGACGCCACGGGTCAGTGAAGTCGTCGTCCTCGTAGTACATCTCCAGCGTGTCGTCGATGCGTGCGATGGGCATTGCGCAACTCCCTGCGGCGGTGAATAAAGACTCCCTGGCAGCCGGTTAATCGATGATGGGGACCGCAATCGAGACGCGGGGCTTGTCGCCATGGACGGCGGTGGTGTGCCCTCGCCCAGTGAGGTCATCGGCCAGCAGCACGTCTCCGGAGTTGAAGATCCGCTTGGTGCCGTCTCCGAGACCGACCTCCATTTGCCCCTCCAGGGTGATGACGTACTGCCGGCGGGGTGCGGTATGCCAGTCGCTGAAGTTGCCGGGCTGGGTGCGACTGAAGGTCACGCTGGATGCGTTCTGCGCGGCCGTTCGCTCAGCGTTGGCAACGGCCTCGAAGGGAAGGTCCAGTTCCTCGAAGTGTGACTCTCCGTCATCGCCGGTGTAGATCCTGACTACCTGCATTTCGGCTCTCCTTTCGCAATAGTTGGATTTTTCCAAGTACAGACGACGGGATCATAAGACGGCGTCGTTGAGGCGTCAATTTCGGACCCCCTGTTCTGCGGTCGGGCAGAGGTCCGCAAGACAGCAGCCGCCGCAGAGGGGGGCTCTCTTGGTGCAGGTGTACTTGGCGTGATGGTCCAGCAGGGCATGAAACTCGTTGAACAGCGGAGCATCCGCAGGGAGATTGTCTTGGAACAGGGCCTGATAAGCCCCGTAGCCGGGGTTCCGCCCTGAGGGAACGATGCCCAGCCGGTCCACAATTCGGCGAGTGTAGGTGTCCATCACAAAGGACGGCATCTCTGCGGCGTAGACCAGGATGTCATCGGCGGTTTCCTCCCCAATGCCGTGGATCGAGAGCAGTTCCGTCCGAAGCCTCCCCGCGTCGCTGTCAAACATGCGGTCCAGGTCGCCGCCATAATTCTCAATGACGTGGTGAGCGAAGGCCTGCAGCTTTCGGGCCTTCGCGTTGTAGTATCCGGAGGAACGGATCACCAGCGCCAGTTCGTCCTGCGGCAGCGAGGCTATTGCGTAGAACGACCAGCATTCAGCGGCCCGCAGGGAAGCGAGGGCCTTTTCGACGTTTACCCACGCCGTGGACTGCGTGAGGATAGCACCCACGATGATCTCGAACCGGCTCTCCCCAGGCCACCAGCCCTGTGGCCCATAGGAGTCATAGAGCCGACGATAGACCCTTGGCAACAGGTCGCGAAGTGTGTCGGAACGTGGTCTTGCCGTCATAGACCCTGCCCCTGGCTGCCGGCAATCGCTTTGAAAGGGACGATCTCCAGCTGCCGGTCCAGCTTGATCTCCCTCAAGGAGACGAGGCAGTTGAATGCGTAGGCATTGACGCCTGTGTCCACAGCGCTGCGAAACGCCTCCGCCAGCGCCGGGTCAGCCTCATCGTTGGTCGCGAAAGTGTTGGCGTCTCGCCGCTGTATCACGAATACAACGGCGGCCCGGTGTCCTGCTTCCACGGCCTCTGCCAGGGTATTCAGGTGCTTGGCCCCGCGTACCGTCGGTGAATCGGGAAAGAGGCCCACCCCATTTTCCACCAGTGTCACAGATTTGACTTCCACATACCGCCGGGCACCCTCGCCCTCGAGCATTAGGTCAAATCGGCTCTCCCCAAAAGTGGATTCGCGCACGATGGTCTCGGGTTTGCCAAACTCGGCAAATATCCCCTCTGCAATGGCCTCTGCCACCAGCGCGTTGGGCAGTCGCGCGTCCGCAGACACGAGCACGCCATCGGCCTCCACCAGCGCCAGGTCGTAGGCCGTCTTGCGTCCGGGGTTGGCCGCCGGATTGAGCCATACGCGGGCCCCTGGCACAAAGAGCTCACGAAGCCTTCCGGAATTGGCGACATGCACTCTCTCCTCAACGGCGTCCAACTCAACTACGGCGAGGAACCGGTTGACTCTCCGAACAAAGCTCGCCTCGATCAGTTGGTTGCCCAAATACACCCTGCGCTCCTTCCGATGCTATTCCAGGCCTCTTGCCTGCGTCGGTTGGCCCTTGTCAGCTCTCGCGGGCGTCCCTTACGATTGATAAATCAGCCTTATGACCCCTGCCAGGAGTCCGCTCGAAAGGACGGGCGGCCACTGCCATCCTGCAATCCTGCAATCCTTTTGGCGCTACCCTTGCACCGCCCTTGCGCACACCCCCTGCAATGGTAACAATGGAGCATCCGGTGAACAACGGAGTCGATGGGACGTTGAGTTCGCGACAGTGAGTTCCTTCGTAGAGAAAATCAGCAGGGCGTGCCAGGCTACTCACAGCCTGCTGTGCGTCGGCCTTGATCCAGACCCGGCCTTGATGCCCGTTCCGGACGTATTCGTGTTTAATCGCGCCATAATTGACTCGACAGCAGCGGTGGCCAGCGCCTACAAGCCCAATCTGGCTTTCTACGAGGCCCTTGGGCTGCCTGGGATGGAAGCGCTGGAGAGAACGGTCAGCCACATCCGCGACGTCGCACCCGACGCGGTGATCATTGGAGACGCCAAGAGAGGTGACATCGGGCCGTCCGCCAGGGCTTACGCAAAGGCCATGTTCGGATTCTGGGATTTCGACGCGGTGACAGTAAACGCCTGGGGCGGCAGTGATTCAATCGAGCCATTCCTCGAAGATCCAACCAGAGGCGTGTTCGTATGGTGCAGGGGTTCCAATCCTGGGTCCGGCGACTTTCAGGACCTGCTGGTTGACGGCAAGGGTGAGGGCACACCACTCTACGAGGCAATGGCGCGAGCCTGCGCCGACTGGAACACAAGTGGAAACATCGGTTTGGTCGTGGGGGCGACGGTGCCCGGGCAGTTGGCGGCAGTCCGCAGTCTGTGCCCTGATATGCCGCTCTTAATCCCAGGGGTTGGGGCGCAGGGTGGAGAATTGGAATCGGCAGTGCGGGCCGGTTGCGATTCCAAGGGTCGGCTGGCTCTGATCAATTCGTCCCGTGGCGTAATTTACGCCTCCCCTTCCGCAGACTTCGCCAGTGCGGCCAGTGAGGCGGCCAGTCGCCTGCGCGACAGCATCAACCACGTGCTGGAACAGGATGGTCTGGGATGGCTCTCGAGCTGAAGACCGGCGATGTCGTTCGACTGAAGAAACCCCACCCCTGCGGTGAGTTCCTATGGACAGTTACCCGGCTCGGCGCGGACATCGGCCTGGTGTGCCAGAAGTGCAGACGCTACGTGATGATTCCTAGGGCGCAATTGGCCCGGCGAGTACGCCAGGTTATCCCGGCCGACCAAGCTTAAGCGTCGTCGATGATGGGCGGCGTCTGACGGCTGGGTATGGGAAGCGGCGAATCCCACAGCTCAGCGTGATATCCGCTCAGGTACTCCGTCATCATTTGGTTGAAGTTCCGCACCCCCTGGCCGACAAACTTGCCTTTGAGAGTGCATATCCCGATCACCGATCCAGGGAACAGGTGGTCCAGCCGCACGATCCCAACGTGGTCGTGGTCCTCCGGACGAATGGCGAAGTCCACGGCAACCGCCAACCCGAGACCTATTTCTACGTATCGCTTGATGGACTCAATATTGTCCAGGGACAGAACCACGTCCCCCGCGAGCCCGCGAGCCCGCATTGCCTGGTCCACCTTCTGCCGAAGCGCGCTCTCCTGACCAGGAAGTATTAACGGAGAAGTAAATTACCTCCTCGAGGGTTACTTCGTGGCGTCCAATCAGAGGGTGTCCCAACGGGGTCATCAAAACGGCGTTATACTCGAACAATTCTTGGAATTCCAGAGACGGGTCGTCAGGCGGCGGAGGTGAGCAAAAGGCCAGGTCGATCTCGCCTGACCGCACGAGTTGAATCAGGGGGTCGTATGCACGCGCCAATAACCTGATGCGAATTTCGGGATACTGTTCTCGGAAGGCTTGGATACCCTTGGGGAGATGATGGGCGATAAGGTCAGGGTACGCTCCGACCACAAACGACCCGCGCCGGTCCGCGTAGTCCATCTGTCTTTTCAATACTTCGATGGAAGTAACCACCGGAGTTACTAACTCAAGGAGCGTGATCCCCTCGGAGGTGAGCTGGATGGGGCGCTTGATTCTATCAAAGAGCGTGATACCGAATTCGCCTTCCAATTTGCGGAGGTGGGTGGTTACTGTTGGCTGTCCCAGTTCCAGCGTCCTGGCCGCTTTGGATACGCTCCGCAGGCGCGCCACGTGGTAGAAGCTTATAAGTTCTCGCAATTCCATGAATTTGCCCTCAATATCCCCGCTACACTTTCAATAAAATATATCATACAGTATCCCTTGACAAAATATGAGGGCCAAACCAAGAATGATGCGTGCCCCATGAAAGCGGGGCGCCCGTCCCGGTCACGCGGCTTTGGCAACACCGAACTAATTGCCAGGGTGGGCAGTGCCATCAGGTTGAAAGTATGCCTTTTGTGATAACTGAACCCTGCATCGGCGTGAAAGACGCGACCTGCATCGAAGTTTGCCCCGTCGATTGCATCAACACCACCGATGAAGAGGAACAGTACTTTATCGATCCTGTTACCTGCATCGACTGTGCCTACTGTGAGTCCGTGTGCCCCGTGAACGCCATCTTCGACGAGTTCCGGGTGCCCAGCGATCAGCGTGTCTTCATCGCCAAGAACCGAGATTTCTACAAGAAGAAGTAGCAACGCTTGAAGCGCCGCTCCCCGCGGCGCCATAATTCGTTGAGGCACTTGTCGGCCAGCGCGCCCGTCTCGTCGCGTGGTTCGACGGGAAGGGATGTTTTGCGCTATTTTGGTGTCCGGCATCCATTCCAGTTGGTTTCCTTTTTAAACGGGGGCCCGGCCGGAGTTCGTTCACCATCCCCTTACCACTGCGTTGACTAGGAGGTGCTTTCGCTATGACCCTGTTCCTGCGTAATGAAGACGTTGCCCAGTGCGTGACAATGGAGGCAATGCTGCAGGCAATCGAGACCATGCAGAGCCGCTACGGTCAGGGGGAGGCTTACAACTTGGGTCGGCGAAAGATCATAGCGGACACTGGGATGCTCTCGGTAATGGGAGGCGGCCTGTTCTACGAAGGGGTTCTCGGCGTCAAGACCTATACGGTCGTTCGGGGGTCGTACTCGTTCCAGGTGAGCTTGTACGACGCGTCGACGGGCGAACTCCTTTGCTACATGCAGGCCAACCGCCTTGGCCAGCTACGCACCGGTGCCACCACTGGAGTGGCAGTCAAGCATCTCGCGCGCAAGGGGCCGCTCCGCGTGGGGATAGTGGGAACGGGCGGGCAAGCCCCCACGCAACTGCAGGCAATCGCCAGCGTTCGAGAGGTTTCTGGAGTTAAAGCATACAGCCGGGACGCCGGGCGCCGCTCGGAATTTGCAGCCAGCCAGACCGAAGCGTTGGGAGTAAAGGTAGTACCCGCGGGCAGCAACGAAGATGCGGTAAAGGACTGCGATCTTGTAATCGGGATCGCTGCCACAACAGAACCGGTGGTGCGGGGAGGTTGGCTCCAGGAGGGTGCCACCGTGATCGGCGCTGGTCCCACGACCTGGAGAGTCAGCGAGGTGGATGAGGAAACGCTGACTCGTGCTGACAAGCTTTTCGTCGATTCGTTGGACCAGGTCTCCATCGAGGCAGGAGATATCTCGGCGGCAGTGGACAAGGGCCTGCTGAACTGGAGCCAGCTATCCGAATTGCGCCACGCCGTCTGCGGCGCCATCTCTGGGCGCGACAACGACCACCAGATAGTTTACGCAAAGCTGATGGGGACCGGAGTGGCCGACGTGGCCGCCGCCAAGCTGGCCTACGACTCCGCTAAGGCGAAGGGACTGGGCACCGAGATGGATTGGTAGCAACGCTATTCATTCTGCGTATGTAGCTTTGCCAAAGGGACATTCGTGGTCCCCGAATTCTATGCCCTCGACTCCGCCAACTCCCGCTGTCGCAATGTACGCTGTGCCGCTACCTGCCGTTGAGATAGTCTGACGTAGTGCCGATATCGTAAACGGCGTTGCCGGAGAGGAGGCTCTCCACCGCTGCTCGCGCAGTATCGAGCGATGTGAAACAGGGCATCTGTCGTTCCACGGCGGCCCGGCGGATGTAGAAACCGTCCCGCAGCACGTCGCTTACTCCTGAGAGCGTGTTTATCACCGCTCCTACGCTTCCGTCGTTTATCACGTCCATCACGTTGGGATGGCCTTCGCTCAACTTCTTGGTGGTCATTGTCACCGGCAGGCCCATTGCGGATATCATCGCAGCGGTGCCCTCGGTCGCGTACAGGGGGCATCCAGCTTGGTTCAACCCTCTGATGATGGAAACAGCCTCTGCCTTGTGCTGGTCGGCTACGCTGAGCAGCACCCCGATGCCTTCCTTCAGGTTCAGCCGGGCGGCCAGGAGGGCCTTGGTCAGTGCGGCGGAGAAATTGCGGTCGATTCCCATGACCTCTCCGGTCGACTTCATCTCGGGCCCAAGATGCCAGTCAACACCGATCAGCTTGGCCATTGAAAACACCGGAGCCTTCACTCCCACCAGCCCTTGGCGCGGCCACAGACCTGTCGGATATCCTTCCTCGGCCAGGGTGTGTCCCAGCATCACTCGAGTTGCCAGCCGGGCCACTGGTAAGCCGGTCACCTTGGAGATGAACGGGATGGTGCGACTTCCTCGTGGATTGACCTCAATGACGTATACGGTCGTGGCACCGGAGTCGGCCGTCGGAGTCTGGGGGCTGCGGTAGGCCGGACCACCGTGTATGACGAATTGGACATTCATCAGCCCGCGGACTCCCAGGGCCAGGCCGATTCGAGTGGTGTAGTCGACAATGGTGTCAACCTCATCCTCTGTGAGATTGAGCCCTGGATAGATTGCCATTGAATCGCCACTGTGCACCCCGGCGCGCTCGACATGCTCCATCAGCCCAGGAATCAGAACACCCTCGCCGTCGCATATGGCATCGACCTCGCACTCTTTCCCTTCCATGTAGCGGTCGATAAGGACCGGTCTGGTCGGCGATATTTCCGTGGCCGCACCCAGGTACCGGATCAATTCCGTCGCGTTCTGGACGATTTCCATCGCCCGCCCCCCCAGCACGTAGCTGGGTCTCACAACCGCTGGGTATCCGATGGTCTGGGCAACCTGGAGTGCATCGCTGACCGTCGAAACCGCTCCGCCCGGCGGCTGGGGGATACCCAACCGCGAGAGAAAGTCCTCGAATTTATGCCTGTCCGACGCAATGTCGATAGCCTCGGCGCTGGAACCGAGAATAGGCAGTCCGGCGGCCGACAGCGCCTGTGAGAGGTCGATGGCTGTCTGCCCCCCAAACTGGACTACCGAAGCCGGCGGGATTCCACCCGAGTCTTCGTCCCCGGTCTCGTTGTCAATTATGTCGCGGACTGATTCCTCATCCAGCGGTTCGAAATAGAGACGGTCGCTGGAGTCAAAGTCTGTTGACACCGTTTCAGGGTTGGAGTTGACCATAATACTGCGAACGCCCGACTCCGAGAGGGCCCAGGCGGCGTGTACGCTGCAATAGTCGAATTCAATACCCTGGCCAATGCGTATTGGCCCGCTCCCTATAACCAGCGCCTTTTTTCCGGGGAGAGGCTCTGCCTCGTTCTCTTCATCGTAGGTGCTGTAGTAATAGGGGGTTGTGGCCTCAAACTCCGCCGCGCAGGTATCCACGGTCTTGTAGACCGGGCGCAGTCCCCATTGCCGCCGCAGGTTTCGTACTTGTTCCGGCAGCATATCTGCCAGCGTTCCGATTTGGACGTCAGAGAAGCCCATACGCTTGGACTCGTGCAGAAGTTCCTGTGTCAGTTCCTCCGCCAGCAGCCGGCGTTCCATTTTGACTATGCGCTCAAACGCGAAAAGGAACCACGGTTCAAAGAGCGTGCGTTCCACTAGCTGGTTCACCGTGTATCCGCGCCGCAGGGCCGCCATGATCCCCCACAAACGCATATCGTTGGGCCCCAATGGTAGGTCATCCGCAGTGGCGCCACTGCCGCTGCTCCATGCCGGATCTTCCCAGAGCAGGGTCTTCCCGCCCAATTCCAGGGACCTTGCCCCCTTTTGCATTGCGGCCTCGAAGGAGCGGTCTATGACCATTACTTCCCCCGTGGCCTTCATCTGGGTGGTGGTGCTACGGTCGCCATTTGGAAACTTGTCGAAGGGCCACCGGGGGATCTTGACGACACAATAGTCTAAAGCCGGCTCAAAAGCTGCCTTGGTCTGACCCGTTACGGCGTTTTCGATCTCGTCGAGGCGTCGACCAACGGCGATCTTGGCCGATACGCGGGCGATCGGATAGCCGGTGGCCTTGCTGGCCAGCGCCGAACTGCGGCTCACCCGGGGGTTGACCTCGATAACGTAGTACGGTGAGTCAGTCTGCCAATCCAGTCCAATTGCCTTGGCAACATTCGGATGAGGCTGCAATGCGAACTGAACGTTGCAGCCACCCTCTATGCCCAACCCACGAATGATCTTCAGGCTGGCTGTGCGCAGCATCTGGTACTCTTTGTCCGTGAGCGTCTGGCTTGGAGCCACGACGATACTGTCCCCGGTGTGGACACCCATCGGGTCGAGGTTTTCCATGTTGCATATGGTGATGCAGTTGTCTGCGCCGTCCCTCAGCACCTCGTATTCGATTTCCTTCCAGCCCTCCAGTGAGCGCTCAAGGAGAATCTGCGAAATTGGACTTGAGGACAGGCCGGACTGCGCGAACGCCTCAAATTCCTCCTCGGTTTTCGCGATTCCCCCTCCGCTTCCGCCGAGGGTGTAGGCTGGCCGGATCACCAAGGGCAGTCCCATGCGAGCCGCTGCGTCCCGTGCCTCGTCCATGGTCGACACGGTCAGGTTTTCGGGTTCCGGTTCTCCAATTTCGTGCAGGAAACTGCGAAAGAATTCCCGGTCCTCAGAACGTCGAATAGTCTCCAGCGGGGTACCCAGCAGCCGGACATCGTAGCGCTCAAGCACTCCCGCGTCCGCCAGGTTCACTGCCAGGTTCAGGCCCGTTTGACCACCCAGGGTAGGCAACAGCCCGTCCGGCCTCTCCCGTTGGATAATCCTCTCCAGTACCTCTACTGTGAGCGGTTCGATGTAGACCCGGTCGGCGATTCCTTCGTCGGTCATAATCGTGGCCGGGTTGGAGTTGACCAGCACCGTTTCGACTCCCTCCTCTCGAAGGGCCTTGCAGGCCTGAGTTCCCGCGTAGTCGAACTCAGCGGCCTGGCCGATAACAATAGGTCCCGATCCGATCACCAGGACTTTCCGCGGCTTTTCCGTAACTCTGCCTCCCAATAGTCGGCATCGGCATCAACCCCACTAGCGGCCGTGCCGGGCCATGATGAACTTCCCTTTCAAGTATATATTAAGCCCGGCTGTTAACTTAACAAGCCGGGCTCTGCGCTGGCTCCAGGTAGCGGCTCAACGGCTTGGGCCGCTAGACTTTGGGTAGAATGCCGGGCAACTCGATGAGACCCCGGTCATATAACGAATTGAGCAACTGAAAGACAAACGCGCCAAAAAGCTTGCCGTCCCAATCCGCGGCATCCGGGCCAGGCACCGTCTGCTCAACCCTTGGCGGTATGCTGATCGAAACGTTGCCATACCTGTTGACCTCCACTTCCATTCGTCCAAGGGAGATCAACTCCTTCGGCTGAAAGAAAGAAAAGGCGCTGACCATAAAGAGCCACTGGCCTCCAATTTCTCCCCTGCCGGGCGTAACGGTGAAACCGAATTCACCGCAGGAGTATCCTGGGACCTCTTCGTCGAAGATAGAGGTCATATCTGCGAAATCCAAATCCACTTCCACATCCACCCCCCCTTCCAGCAAGACCATGGAAAAAGAAGACATGAAGATAATTCCTCCGGAAGGTTGCTTTCTGAAAGCTGATCAGGGGGAGGTATCCAGCGCCCGGTGGCACCAAATTGCCAGTCTGCGCCGGTACCTTAATTTTCACCTCCTTGCATTCCCTCTGGAACTTTCTTTTGCTGCTACTTCTTGAAATCGTCCATCAGTGTCACGAACCGGTCGAAAAGGTACTCGTTGTCCCTCGGCCCCGGCGATGCCTCTGAGTGGTACTGAATGGTGAAAACCGGCAGATCCCGGTGGGTCAACCCTTCCACCGTATCGTCGTTCAAATTGATGTGAGAGACTTCCAAGCCTGCAGGGAGTGACTCGGCCTTCACGGCGTATCCGTGGTTCTGCGCCGTGATGTATACCCTGCCGTCTGACATATCACGCACCGGATGATTGCCGCCCCGGTGCCCGAATTTAAGCTTGAATGTTTCTGCGCCCAGAGCCCGCGCCACTATCTGGTGACCTAGGCATATGCCCATTACGGGAACTCTGCCGAGAATTCGCCGGGCGTTTTCGACCACGTAATCCAGCATCCGCGGGTCGCCCGGCCCAGGTGAGAGAAGCACTCCGGACGGGTTCAGGGAGAGCAGTTCCTCTGCCGGCGTATCGGCAGGGACCACACTCACTTCACAGCCGCGCCGGGTGAGTTCACGAAGAATATTGTATTTAAGGCCACAATCCGTTACCAGCACCCGGTAGGGCCTTTCCCCGGCCTTTTGGCGTGTCCCGCCCCAATCGTACGCAGTGCCGGTCATTACGTTACGTACATGGTCCAGCTCGTCGTAGCTGGTCGCCGCCTCCAGCTTCGCCCTTGCGGCATCGGGATGACTGGCTATTGCCCCCATCATCACTCCACTCGACCTCAGCCGACGGGTGATGGCTCGCGTGTCCACCCCGCTGATGCCCGGGACTCCCTCGCTCTCCAGGTATTCGTGAATCGTGCGAGTGCTGGATCCGTGGCTGGGCGCGTCGCAGTGCTGGCGGACCACCAGCGCACTGACCTGTATCCGCCGGGATTCGAAATCGATCTCGTTGATGCCGTAGTTGCCGATGAGAGGATACGTGAGAGTGACCAATTGACCCGCGTAAGATGGATCAGTCAACACTTCCTGGTATCCGGTCATCGTGGTGTTGAATACCACCTCTCCAGCAGTGTCAATGTTGGCCCCAAACGCCTCACCCCGGTGAACCGAACCGTCCTCGAGAACGAGGAAAGCGGCGGGCAACTCAGTACACCTCCGGGTTGCTGGCCCCGTGGGAGGCGCTGAAATTGGCGGACTGTAAACAGACCCTCTGAGTTTTGAGGGAGACCCGCGTGGAGTGCAAGCTATGCTGATTCATCGGCTTCCTGTAAACGCAATTGCCCTGATTGGTGAATGATTTTCCCGGCAGCAATGGTGGCCACGACTCGGCCTCTCAGATTGGTGCCGTCCAGTGGTGTGTTTTTGCCCTTTGATGCAAAATCCCCGGCGTTGACCGTCCATTCCTGGTCAGGGTCGAACAGCAGGACGTCGGCTGGCGTTCCGGGAGCCAGCGATGCCAGGGGGATGTATTCTGCTCCCAACACCCGCGCTGGTCCGGCGGTTAGGCGCTCCACTAGGACTGGCAGGGAAATTCGACCAAGGTGGAACAGTTGCATGGACGAACCCAGGGCTGTTTCCAGCACGCTGATGCCAAAAGCTGCGTCCTCGTAGGTGACCTGCTTGGTAGCAACGTCGTGGGGAGCGTGGTCAGTGGCAATGCAGTCGATCGTCCCGTCCGCCAGCGCTTCAACCAGTGCCTCGACGTCGGAACGATTGCGTAGCGGTGGGTAGACCTTCGTCGACGTGTCGTAGGCCTGTTCACTGGAGCCGGCGCCGTTTCCCTTCGTGCCCAGGGCCCATTCGTCGGTGATCGTCAGGTGGTGCGGGCACACCTCTGCCGTAACGTTCAGCCCCAGTTCCTTGGCCCGACGAACAAGTGGAACGCTCCCTGCGGTGCTGACGTGGGCCACGTGAAGCCGCCCACCCGTCGACGCCGCGAGGGCTATGTCCCGGGCGATCATGGCGTCCTCTGCTGCGGGCGGTATTCCCGCCAGTCCCAGCCGAGTAGCTATCGCCCCTTCGGCCATCACCCCGTCGGCGCTCAGCAGGAGGTCCTCGCAGTGGTTGCTGACCGGCTTGCCCAGGTCCGCGCCATAGGTAAGGGCCATACGCATCAGGTTGGCGTCCTGCACCGGGTCTCCGTCGTCGCTGAAAGCCACCGCCCCGGCAGCTGCAAGCTCCTCCAGGTCCGCCAGTTCCTGCCCCTTGCGTCCACGGGGTAACGCAACCGATGGGGAGAACTCTAACCAACCCGGCTTCTCTGGCCCGGCGTAGAACGAACTCAATCAACGGCCCTGAGTCGATGGGAGGATCCGTATTGGGCATGCAGCAGATGGTAGTAAACCCTCCCCGCGACGCCGCCAGCGCCCCTGTGGCGATGGTCTCCTTGTATTCGTAGCCCGGTTCCCGCAGGTGGGCGTGCAGGTCAATGAGGCCTGGGCAGGCCACCATACCTGTTCCGTCGATTACGACACATCCATCGGGTCCGCTATCTATCGCAGACTCAGAGGCGGAGACGCAGCCATCTTCGAGAAGAATATCGCCCACGAAATCCAGAAGCCTGACGGGGTCAATCAGACGTGCTCGCCGAATCAGGATGGGCCTGTATTTCTCCAGGGCCATTATTCACCGGCCCCGGCGTTCAGTTGATACAGCACAGCCATTCTTACAGCAACGCCAGCGGTCACCTGTTCCTCTATTGCAGACCGGCTGCCGTGCGCTAGGCCGGAGCTAATTTCGATCCCCTCATTCATCGGGCCAGGATGCATCACCAGCACATGCGGCTTGGCTCTCAATAAGCGGGCGTCGTTGACCTGCCATCGCCGGATGTACTCCCGAATGCTGGGCAGGAACCCGCCCCGCTGCCGTTCCGATTGCAAACGTAAGGCCATCACCACGTCTGCGCCTTCCACCGCCCGGTCCAGATCGGTGTCCACCTCAACCTGCGATGCCAGTCCTTCGCTGTTTGCGTCCGGCAGGCTATCGTTCACGAAGTCCGGCGGCATCAGCGTTCTGGGGCCGGAGAGCACCACGCGGGCGCCCATTTTGGCAAACCCCCAGATATCGGAGCGGGCCACCCGGCTGTGTAGAACATCCCCTACTATCACGATCTTCAGCCCATCGATCTGTCCCAGCCGGGACTGGACTGTGTACAGATCCAGCAGCGCCTGGGTAGGGTGAGCGTGCAGGCCGTCTCCCGCGTTCACGATGTTGACCCTGTCCAGGTTGCGGGCCAGGAAGTTGGGGGCGCCCGAGTGAGGATGCCTGACCACCAGTGTGTCCACCCCCATCGCCTGCAGGGTCAGACCCGTATTCAGCAGGGATTCACCCTTGTCGGTGCTGCTGCCGGAGGCGCTCACGTTGATCACGTCCGCGCTGAGAACCTTGCCTGCCTCTTCGAATGAAACCCGTGTGCGGGTGCTGGCCTCGTGGAACATGGTCACTATTACCTTTCCCCGCAGTGCCGGCACCTTCTTGATGTCGCGACCCAACACCTCCGCCATGCCGTTGGCGGATTCCAGGGTCGCCTCCAGTTCTTCCCTGGAATAGTCGTCCAGGTCCAAGACGTGACGCCTCCTGGGCAACTCATCAGTAGAGATGGGCTGTGAGGACAGGTTATCTTCGATCGTCTCGCGCAGTGTCATTCCACAATTCTCAACGGCACTCAGTCGGTCCCCGGTAGACCTACTCTGGTCGACCTACTCTTCAGTGGCGGCAACAGTTTCGGGCTGTCGCGATTCGGGTCCGGATTCCTCTTCCTGCGTTCCATCAGGGCGGAGCAGGGCTACCTCTTCCTGGCCGTCGATTTCGTCAATCCTTACCGCGACGATCTCCTCCCGGGCAGTGGGAATGTTGCGGCCCACGTAGTCGGCTCGTATTGGCAACTCGCGATGTCCCCGATCGATCATCACGGCCAACTGCACTTGTGTCGGCCTGCCGTAGTCATTGAGGGCATCCAGCGCGGCGCGTATCGTGCGGCCGGTGTAAAAGCACATCGTCCACCAGCACGACATTCCTTCCTTGAATGCTCATCGGCAGCTCGGTGCGGTGCACCCGCACTCTTGGGCGTTGCGCTCACGCAGGTCGTCTCGGTAGAGGTTGATGTCCAGGGACCCGACGGGGACCGTTGCGCCCTCGAATTCGTGCACTCTTGCGGACAACCGCTGTGCCAGGGGCACCCCGCGTCGTTGAATGCCGACCAACAGCAGGTCTCCGGCGCCACGATTGCGTTCCAAGATCTCGTGGGCGATGCGCGAAAGCGCCCTCCCCATGGCATCCTGGTTCATAATCTGTCTTTCCGCCATCCCGGCGACGCTGCCCTCAGCCATTCTGCCCTCGGCGTTGTTGGACTCTTCGTGCCCCCTGGGGGCAATTTCAATCCAGGGGCCAAACAAAAAGCCCCTTGCCTCGTAAGCGGCAAGGGGATACGAACCGGCCCCGCACGTTGTCGCACAGGGGAATCGTCCGGGTCGCCCTACTTTGCCAGCCTCACGGGACTGCCTTAAAAGTCTGACTGCCCATTCGCGGAAGAATTCCGCTGGAATTACTAGTTATTAAGTTGTAACTAAAACGTTAGCACAAAATGCGCTGTATTGACAACTGCTTATCCGGGATAAAGGATATCTGCCAAAATCGAAAATGGCCCAGGTACGGGTCAGGAAGTTACCCGCTTGCGCCGGTTGTTCAGATAGTCCACCAACACGAACTCGCTCAGGTTGGACGCGCTGGTATAAAACGCCCTCCCCTTGTTGATCCGGGTCATCCGGTCAACGAAGTTCACGAGCTGGTAGTTGTTTTCCAACATGAAGGTGTTGATCAGGATATCTTCCTGCGTGCAACGGCGGACTTCCCGAAGCGTCTCCATCTCCGTCCGGTAGCTGGGCGGGTAGCTGAAATACGACCGATCGCCCTCAAAAGGTGAGCAGTTGGTTCACCGTCTGTGATCACCAGAATCTGCCGAGTGCCGCCCTTCTCCCTCGACAGCAACTTGCGGGAAAGCAACAGAGCGTGATGCAGGTTGGTCCCTGAAACCCAGGCGTTCCAGCTGCAGCTCGCCAGGTCCTCCTCCTTGATTTCCCGCGCGTAGTCCGAGAACCCCACGATGTACAGCGCGTCCCGGGGATACTGCGAGCGGATTAGCGCCATCAGGGCGACCGTCACTTTCTTGGCCGCCTGCCAGTTGTTGAACAGCCCCATGGAGCGGCTCTGGTCCAGCAGCACGACTGTGGCCGCCTTGGTCATGTGCTCCGTGCGATGTATCTCGAAGTCCTGCGGACCCAGCTTCACCGGCACCTGCGGCCCGCCCCGCAACACCGCGTTCTTCACCGTCGTCTGCAGGTCGACCAGGAACGGGTCGCCGAACTCGTAGGTCTTGGTCTCCCCCAGCAGGTCTCCGTTGGCGCCCCGCGTGTCCATCAGGTGCCCGCCGATCCGGTCCTTTTTGAGGTGCGCGAAGACCTCCTTCAGAGCCTTCTGCCCGATGCGACGCATGCCCCGCGCCGTCAGCTCGGTCTTCTCCCCTCCGGTGATGTACCCCGCATCCTCCAGCAGCTTGCGCAGGTTCTCCAGTTCGTCCCAAACCCGCCGGGCGTCGTCGCCCAGCAGTTCCGCCAGCTTCTCCGGGTCGATGTCCGTGAGGTCGCCCGTGCGGATGGCCTCCTGGAGCGCCGCCTCCAGCTGGTCCAGCTGCTGCAGGTCGCGCATCATCTGCATCGCCTGCTCCATGGACAGGCTGTCGTCCCCCAGGAACGGGTACTGGCGTCGCAGGTCGTCCATGGGCATCAGCTGTTCCATCAGCGCCGCAAACTGCGCCATCTCCCGTTGCGTCTCCGGGTCCAGGGCCTGCGCCAGCGCGTCCTCCATCTCCTGCCGCGCCTCGGGGAGACATGCTCTCCAGCATCGACTGCATCTGCGCCAGTTGCTGCTGCAGCATCTCCATCAGCTCGTCGAAGCTCTGCGGAGGGTTGTCGCCGAACATCTGGCCCCATTTGTCCATGAATCCGTCGAAGTCCGGCTCGCGGCCCTCCAGCCGGTCCCGCATCATCTGGTTGATGTCCCGCATCATCTCCCGTGTGGCTTCCATGTCCTCGGGAGACATGTTCTGGATCTGCTGCTGCATTTGCTGGCCCATGTTCTGCGCCATCTGGCTCTTCAGCATATCCAGCAGTTCCTGGAACTTCTGCTGCGCCTCAGGATCCATGAAGTCGTACTCCATGAGCTCCTTGAGTTGACTCCCCACGCCCTCCGGCAGGTTGTCCAGCTTGTCCAGGTTTCGGTTGGCCCGCTGCTCCAGCAGGTTGAACAGCGCCTCCTGCTGCTCCTGCTCGTCCTCCGGTGCCCCGTCCACTTGCTGACGCGCCTCGTCCAGCCGGTTCTGGATGCCGCGACGCTCGGTGTCGATAATTTCCTGCAGCCGCTCCTTCAGGTCGTCCACCACCGAGTCCATGTTGTGCTGCTGCATCTGCTGACGGCGCCGTTCCTTCAGCTGCTCCATAAGCTGCCGCATCCCCGGCATCTGCTCGCCATCCCGGTTCTGCATCCCCTGCCGGAGCAGGTCCCGCAGCGCCTGCATGATGTCGCCGTTGTTCAGGACATCCTCAGACAGCATGTCCATCAGCTCGTCGGCATCGATATCGAAGATGTTTTGGGTTCCGTCCCACTTGGAGTACCGGTAAGTGCGAAATAGCATCACGTCCCCCAAAACAAAGGTGCAGGTGAAATTACGGCGATGATACCCGCCGTCGATATCGAAGGCAACCGCGGGTGGAACGGGGTTATGTCAAACCGGAGAGCCGGTTCCCAGGGGCTCCCCACGGTTCCCGCTACTGGCAGATGCGTGACTGGCCCTCTGCTGAGCCATTGCTGAGGGCTAGATCACCTTCGCCCCCAGCACCCGCTGGCAGTGCGACAGCGCAAACCGGTGCATCTCAGGGTCCGGCCCCGACACGCAGTCGGAATACACCTCCACCTCGTAGTCCCGGTTGCGCGCGTCCGAGACTGTGTGCATCACGCAAACGTTCGTGGCCACACCGCAAACCATCAGCTTTTCCGGCTGAATGTCTGCCAGTCGTTCGCCCAGGTCGGTGTTGAAGAAACCGCTGTACCGTTTCTTTGGTATCACGTTGCCGTCGGTGACAAACCCCGATAGCTCCGGTATCACCAGCGTCTCCTCCGTCCCGATAACGCAGTGCACCGGGAATATGTTGAACTCCAGGTCGTCGGGGTCGTGGTGGTCCGACACGAACAATATCTCGGAGCCAGCAGCCTTCTCCCGCAAAACCAGTTCACGGGAATGCGGAATGATCCGACGTGATTCCTCGTGGTAAAGGTTGTGCCCCGGCTCCAGGAACCCCTTGAGCATATCCACCACCAGAACAACGTTGCTCATCACGGCCTCCCGCGCTGACGATTCTGACGCCAGTATGTCCCAGCCATCGACTCAAGGGCAACCCGCCGACCAACCTCCCCCTCCCGAGTGCTCCCGACTTGGTCCACCAGTCGTGAGCCTCCAATCCACGCACCCTGAGCAACCAAAGCTGCTCTCCTACTCCGGCCGGAATCATCTCCCTCGCCAAAGCTGGGATCCATTGCCGGTCAGCCAAGCCAACTATTGAGACCGGTCATTTTATGACCACATAGTCTGAGAGATAGTCGCTTGGCGATGCTCCCTCTACGATGTTGACCTCGCCATTTGAATATTCTGCGTGAGTGATTTCAGTAGCCCATGATGGCATCCGTGTGTCAACGTAAGGGTTGGAATAAAATACTGCTTCAGCATCGCTTAAGGACCAAGGATGCACTCCCCTAAAGGCCACCACGCCGATCACGTTCTCATTTTGAGGGCCAGACGAGTTGCACCAAAATCCATCCAAGTTCTGACCATGATAAGGTTCAGGAAGAGGAGAAGTGTCGTTAGGTATTTCTCGAAAATAAAAGTTGAAAGTCCCCCTCCCAAACAAGACTTCTTCCAGTCTGAGATTTGAATAATCGCATCGTATTGCTACGATTAGATGCTCCAAATTTTTGTAACGTTTGGCCTTATCATAGAGGCGATTTTTCGCCCTACCAATGTCGTCGATATGATCGGCACCTCTCGACCAAATGCTTACGAATCCATCGGGCTGCTGATGATACTCCGGCAGTACTGGCATTAATCTACCCGTTGCTTTCCAGCCACCGAGCTCGAACGTGGCCGATGGCGCGTCATCGAAATTGTAGTCCTCTCTACAGGATGCAGTTAACAATTCCTCAAAATCCGCCTTTTTGGCCAATTCCATAAACGTGCGTTTTAGGTCGTCCTTTCGCGGAGTTGAATCGAGGGCCCCGCTTGTTGTGAGAAACAAGCTAAATTCCCTAATTGGAAGCTCATCCAACGAATCGATAGCTGAAAGCTCATTCCACTGTCTCTCGAGTTCTGTTCCGCGTTCCAGATCAATATCCGTCGCCTAAACCACATAGCTGAGATTGGATCCATCACCGAGGTATTCGATGACTTCAAAGTCAGGCGTTTTCCCCGAATAATCTGGATCCACCGTTACTGACGTGCGGGCGTCGGCCAGGAATTCATGCAAAAATAACTCGAAAAATGTCGCGTTGAATTTTCGATTTTTCTCTGCTGAGCCGTAACCCCTGTGGCGTATTCGCGAAATCACTGCATTCCGCTTTGGCAGGGGTAATCGGTTCAGCCACCGCTCCAGCATACCCCGAATCTTGGCGTACTCCGGTCGCGCACTTCGGTCGAGATATGAATAGATACTCTCAGCCCTTCGAGACAGGCCATAATAGCTTCTTGGTTTGTCGTCAAATAGTCTGATCTTGGCGTCTGCCACTACAAAGTGTCCTCCTCCCCACCAAACGGGAATCGATTGTCGCTCGAGCTTGTAAGTGCATTGCCGATTTGGTCGACCATTAGCATTGGGGAACCTTCATGCATCCGTTCATTACCTTCAGCGTATGCCCGCACATAAAACTACGTCAACGAGATTCTGTCACTTTCCAAGTACCGCAGGCAAAGTCGACAAAGGTAATGCTCTCTCGCATTAGCATAAGCAGCCCGCGAGGCTTCCCTCCCCGTCCGTCCACAAACCTCCGACGTCTCATCCTCCCCAAAATCACACCAATCCCCAAATCAAACAAATCACAGTTCAGACAACCCCCCGCCAACTGCCACCCTCACCCCCGGCCAAATCCAAGAGAATCCTGGAAATCCAAAAATCCTGAAAATCCTGATTCAGACAACACCTCCTTGACTCCCAACTAGAATATTTGTACCATATAACGTCCCGCCCTCAAGCCCGCCCCAGCGTCGGCCGGTCTGCTTGCGGCCATAGCGGTGACGGTGGGTCGAGGTGGCGGCGTTGCACTGGGCGACGATGGGCGTTGTACAGCAGTCCCATGTCCAACAGCACCTGCTTCAGCTGCCGGTACTCGGCGGCGGTCGTCTGTGCCCGGTACCTCAGCGTCACCGTCGCCTTTCCCATCTCCACTCCTCTTTCCGTCTGGCTCCTGTTCTAGTTGTCCTTGGAGTTTTGAATTCGTCTCCTGACACCTCTCCCTTGCCAACTCCACCAAGACCAGATAACATAGTATTCTATATTAGAACATATAATCGCCAACAAGGCAGAGTCCCCATCGACGCGACACCTGCCGCCGCCCCTCACCTGCTCCCTCCCACAGCGCCAAAATGAGCGGAAATGAGAGGAAGTGAGCAGATAAAACGAAAAATTGCGACCAGTCATCAGGAGCAACCATGTCCCTCAGCCGCATCCGCAACCGCATCGAATCCCTCGAGCGTAAGCTCGCCCTGCCCCTTGCCGTCGTAAGGCTCCGGCCCCTGGTCGAGGAGTTCTGCTGGCAGTGGCAAGTCGCCACCGTCGAGAGGAAGTCCCTCCCTGACCCTCATTCCCTCATCCAGAATATCGCCGGTAAGGGCCTGTACTTCAGCACCTTTGGCTATCTGCGAGCCCACCTCGATCGCCAATGCGAAAAGGATGAGGAGCCGGATCCGCAGGATATGATCAAGGTTCTCCTGCCCTTGGCCTACAGGCGGAGCATCATCTGGAACGTCTTTTCCTCCGATGCCCCCGCCGAGTGCTGAACGCCGTCCGTTCCCGGCGGGCCCGTAGCAAGAGGAAGAAGAGACAGAAGCGTAGGAAGTGAGGAGAACGACTGTGAACTATGCGCTGCTCGGCGCCGGGCATAAAAGGGCCGCCGGATACTGACTGACAATCAGGGCAGGGCTTTCTCTAGGGTGCTTGCGCCACCAGTTCGAAGCAGTTGCGGCCCTCTTGATGGTCCCACCTCCGCTCCGAGAACCCGCGGTCGCCGTGGACCTCGCCAGTGGTGTCCGTCGAGAAAACGGCACAGAGCTCGTACCTGGGAGCTTCCAGGATGCGATACACGTAAAGTATGCCGGTCTCAGGATCGTTCACCCGTTCTATGTAATACCGGGGACCAGGCATGACGTCAAAGCTGGCCGGCAGTTCCTCATTGAGTTCCCAGTAGAGGTCTATACCCTCGGCGATGTTGGAAAGATTCGACACCCGCTGCTCGTCCAGTCGGGCGTCCCTCTGGCTGCCCGGGGAGCCCGTCAGTGTCAGTGCATATGCGATGCATCCTGCCACAACCACCACGACCGTTATCATCAGGGCGCGGATCGCCCACTTGTTGCCAGGTGAGGCGGCCGGAGCCTCGGCCTGCCGCATGTCCCAGACGTAGTAGCCGAATATGCAACCCGTGATCGCCAGGATGGAGACCGCCTTCAGCGCGAAACGCAGCGTCGGATCGCCTGTCAGCACGTTCGACAGCAGTGCGATTAGGTCACCGAGAATTATTCCGGCGCCCACCACCAGCGTCAGGTACGTCAGCCAGCGCCGCACCAGCGACTGCCGCCGCTCCGGGTCCGCGGCTACCTGTCCTGCCAACCATCTTGACACCAACAGGTACAGCGGCAATGCAACTATGACCGAGGCTATCGCCGTGGCCCCGGTCTCGCGATCGATGGCGCGGCCCCTGTCCAACGCGTCGGGGAAGGAATAGTCAATCAGCCCGAAGACCAGCACCCCAAAACTGAACGCCGCCACATAAAGCGCAATGAAGGAGACAAGGTAGAGGAACGCCTCGCGGGCGTACAGGTACGGAGTCGGCCGGGGTACCGCAACGGAAAAGGCCACCTCGGCGAAGCCGGCCAGCCCGTTCCTGACCTCGCTCTCCTGCCACCCCGCCTCAAGGAGAACCCGCCGGATTTCCTCCCGGTCATGTCCTCCCTCGAGGGCCTCCTTGATGAAGGCCCGAAGCTCGCGGTTCATCCCACAGCCCGGTCTGGGCTACAAGGCCCCGGATGTGGCGAACCGGGCGTCCTCGTCCAGCATCTCGGAGAGGCCAACGGCCTCGAAGCAGTCCTGCAGGCTGTCCATCTTTTCCAGCAGATGCGAGGTCGTACCCTGCTGCTTCAGCGTCGCCAGCGTCTCCCGGACGGCATGCATCGCCGACAGCAGCCCGCTGGCCGGATAGATCACTATCTTGAACCCGTACCGTTCCAGCTCGGAGGCCGGAAGCAGCGGCGACTTCCCCGTCTCCACGTAGTTGTACAGCAATGGGACATTCAGCTCTCGCCCTGCTTGCTCAATTTGTTCCGGAGTGCGCAACGCCTCCACAAACAGAACGTCCGCGCCGGCTTCGACATACTGCTCGCACCGGTCCATCGCGTCGTCCCATCCGGTGACCGCAATGGCATCGGTTCGGACTATGATTGTGAAATCGTCATCGGTGCGGGCGTCCACCGCCGCGTTAATCTTCTGGACCATGTCCTCGGTGGCAATGACTCGCTTGTCGTCCAGGTGCCCGCATCGCTTGGGAAATTCCTGGTCCTCGAGATGCAGGGCGGCAACCCCGCTGCGCTCGTACTGCCGTACCGTGCGCCGCACGTTGAGGATCCCTCCGTAGCCGGTGTCCGCGTCGGCAATCACTGGGATGTCGACAATGGAGGCGATCTGCGAGGCGTTATCCAGCATCTCGGTCATCGTCGCCAGCGCCAGGTCGGGGTAACCCAGCCGCGCCACCGATGTCCCTGCGCCGGTCATGTACACCGCTGGAAATCCGGCGGCCTCAATCAACTTGGCGGTGAGGCAGTCGTATGCCCCCGGGGCCATGATTATGCCCGGCTGTTCGAGAAGTCGACGGAATTGAGTGGTGGCGTGCATATCGTCCTCCGATGATTTGCTCGGCGCTGATGAGGAAAACGGCCCCATTCTGCTCATCGCAGGATGAACGAACGGAGATGGAATGGATTCAGGCGATAAGGCCGCCATCCACAGTGAGAACCTGACCCGTCAGGTAGCTCGCGCCCCCGCTGCTCAGGAAGAGTATGGTCTCAGCCACGTCCTCCGAAGAGCCGAACCGCCCCATGGGGATACGCTCCAGGATCTGTTTGCGCTTTTCCTCGGTCAGGCCTTCAACCATCCCGGTGGCGATGTAACCGGGCGCAACCGCGTTTACCGTCACATTGCGAGACGCGACCTCCCGTGCCACTGCTTTGGTGAACCCGATAAGACCAGCCTTGGCCGCAGCGTAGTTCGCTTGCCCGGGATTGCCGCTTAGGCCAACGACAGACGACATGTTGATCACTCGACCGTAGTGCTGCCTAATCAGATGCGGCATGACGAACTTGGTGCAGAGAAACGCGCCTCTCAGGTTGACCTGCAGCACTTCATCGAAGTCGGCCGGTGTCATCCGCAGCAGCAGGCGGTCGCGGTTAATTCCCGCGTTGTTGACCAGGATGTCGATGCGGCCAAACTCTTTGACAACTGCTTTTATCGTTTGCTCCGCCTGGCCCTCATCGGAGACATCACCGGCAATCAGCATTGCATCGCCGCCGCTGGCGTTGATGGAATTTTTTGACCTCAGTGGCCGCGTCGACGCTGGCATTGTAGTTCAGCGCAATCTTCGCTCCCGCCTGTGCCATACGACGGGCGATTGCCGCGCCAATGCCCCTCGAGGAACCGGTGACCAGTGCTACCTGGCCTTCTAGGCGGATACCTGGGCTAGTTTCCGCCATCGGAGGTCCTCTCTGCCCTGCCCGCAGCGTAATTGTTGATGGCTGCCAATTCCTGGCGCATTATGTCGAGCAAACCTACGTTTACGTACCGAACTGCAGTCCGAACTGCACCCTCCACTCCATTTGCCCTGCATGAACCGTGCCCAAGAATTACGGGCGCGTTGACGCCGAAAAGAGGGCCACCGCCCACGGTGCGCGGCCGGTTAGTAGTCTCCCACAGGTCGTCGGCCAGCCGGTCAACCACCGCGCGGTCCATTGAATCAGGCAGTTGCTGTCTGACGAAGTCAGCAAGGGCCCCGCCCATGCCCTCGGTGAACTTGACCAGAATGTTGCCCACAAAGCCATCTGCAATGATGACGTCGGCCTTGTTGGTGAAGAAGTCCATTCCCTCTACGTTGCCCACGAAGTTGAGATGGCTCTCTTGAAACAGCTGATAGCTCTCCTGCACCTGCCGGTTACCCTTGACTACCTCCGCGCCGACGCTGAGCAGGCCGATGCGCGGGTTCTCGATCCCCATGTAGGTGTGCGCAAACGTGGCACCCAGAACGGCAAAGCTAAGCAGCAGCCCCGGACGGCAGTCCAGGTTGCTGCCGATGTCCACCAGCACGGTGTTCGGGGCGAGTCCCAGGAATGGCCCACCGAGGCAAGGGCGCTCAAGTCCCTCCATCAGGCCAAGGCTCAACACGGCGCTGGCCATTGAGGCCCCCGTCGAGCCCATCGACACCATAACGTCGGCATGGCCCTCCTTCACCAAGTGGGTGGCAACCACCACCGAAGCCCTTGGCTTCTGGCGCATAGCCTGTACCGGGTGTTCGTCGTCTCCGATCCTGCCTTCAGATGGCACAACCTTGATAGATAGACCAGATATGTCGAATTTTGCGAGCTCAGCCTCAACCAGACCTGAGTCTCCTACCAAAAGCAGTTCAGCGTTGACCGATCTGAGCGCCTGGATGGCCCCCCTGACAGTTTCCACGGGGGCATAGTCTCCTCCCATCGAGTCCACGGCGACTCGCACCGGGCGGCCGTTTTCAGTTCCATTGAGTGACATCGTGCGCCCCTTTAGGCACGACGGTCCTGGAGGGCAGGACCTGTCGCTAGGAATTCTTGAGCGTCGCAGTACCGGTTATCAGGTCTTCCGCGGTTGAGGAGTTTCTGAGTCCTACGGCGTAGCCTTGGATCCCACCGTCACTCTTGGATGCCGCACCCCATGTTTCCACCTGGTCCCCCGGACGTGCCGCCCCTTTGAAACGTGCCTTCATCGACCCGGAGGTCAGCCACTCCCCGCCGTGGGAAGCCGCCATCATCTCACTGATGAAGGCGAGGGTCAGCATACCGTGGGCTATTATTCCTCCGAACTGTGTCCCTGCCGCAAACTCAGGGTCCAGGTGGAGGCGGTTGTTGTCGCCCGAAACTGACGAATATTCGACCAATTGGGTCTGACTTATTGTGCGAGTTACCTGTCCTAGTTCTCCCTTGTGCGTAAGAGCTCGTTCCCTAATTTCTCCCGGCGTCGATCCGGCGTCGCGGCTTGCCCTCTGCTCCTCTTGCGGTCCGGGTTCCAGGAGGGTCGTCTTTATTTCCAGTGCAGTTTGGCCATTTTGGTCCGCCATTTCGATGCTGAAGGTGAGAAAGCGAAGGTCTCCGCGCTCTCTTCGCCGCTTCAACCAGGCCAGCGTTCGCAATCTGCTGTCCAGACCTATTGCTTGCAGGGTGTCAAACTCCTGCAGGCTGTGAATTGCCCCGGAGGGTAGCTCAGTTCGTTGCAGTAACTGACCCAGAGCCAGGGCTACGCCGAAGAGAGGGGGAGCCAAGCCAGAGTTCTGGTAAATGGGCAACTTGTCGCCCACGGCTCGTAGGTAGGACTGCACAGACTCCCCATCTATGCTGGCCCAACCAAGGTCAATGGGCTGAGAAGGTGTTCCGAAGGAATCGATTTCCAGCAGGATGGTTCCTCATCTGAGCACATTTCGCACCCGTCTGGCGGGTGGGGGCATCAAAACAGGACAGTGTTGAGTAAAGACCGGGCCCCGCCGCATCCCCACTTCGTGCATAGGGAACGAATTATACATAGCCCGCCACATGGCGGGCAACAAACGCCAAGGCGACAGATGCGCGAAATGAGGCAATAGCAAGGCGAATGGTGACTAGCTGGTCAGTTGGTAGAGGTTCACGAGGAGGGGTCGCGCAACTCAAACGCCTCGGCGGCAAGCTGTACGATGTGTTCGCCGATCGCCAGGGACGAGGTGGCGCCGGGAGACGGCGCGTTTAGCACATGAACGGCTTCCCTTCCGCGGATAATGCTGAAGTCATCCAGAAGCGCACCGTTTTTGCCCACTGCTTGAGCGCGTACGCCGGCCCCGCCGGGAGCCAGGTCATCCTCAGAGATTTCCGGGAGGAGGCGCCGCAGGTCGCGCAGGAATATGCTCTTGCTGTAGGAACGGCGCATCTCGCTCAGGCCCGTGCGCCAGTGCTTTGCCGTCATTTTCCAGAATCCCGGGTAGGTCAGAGTTTCCATCGTTTCGCCGACACGGATATCGCTTTTCCGATACCCCTCCCGGCTTAGGGCCAGCACGGCGTTTGGGCCTGCCTCCACACTTCCCTGGATGTTGCGAGTGTAGTGGACGCCCAGGAATGGAAAACGTGGGTCAGGAACGGGGTATATCAGGCCAGACACCAAATGGTGGCTCTCTGGCCTCAGAGTATAGTACTCGCCCCGGAAAGGAATTATCCGCACATCGACGCGCTCTTCAATCATTGCAGCAACCCGGTCGGCATACAATCCTGCGCAGTTGATGATGTGCTTTGCCTGTACAGTTCCCTTTGGGGTTTGTACGGCCAGCGTACCGCCCCTTCTGTCTATGCTCTGCACTGGCGATTCAGTGAATATATCGCCGCCGGAGTGGGCAAAGTTAGTGGCGTACACCTGCGCCACTTTCGGGTAATCAGCGATGCCGGTGCCCGGGGCCCATAGGGCCCTGATTCCTGCCGCGTGGGGCTCGATTTCCCGCAGTCGTTCGGGGCCTATGACCTCCAGTCCCTGCACGCCATTAGCGACTCCTCGCTCATATAGATCGTCCAGGCGTCCCAACTCTGACTCATCGGTGGCTACGATGACCTTCCCGCACCGCTCGTACTCGATTTCATTTTCGTCGCAGAAGTTAATCAGTTTCTGGACTCCGGCCACGCAGAAGTTGGCCTTGTGGGAACCAGGACGGTAGTAGATTCCAGAGTGGATCACGCCGCTGTTATGGCCGGTCTGGTGGGTCGCCAGTTCGGCCTCTTTCTCCAGCACCGCCACACGCAGGTCCGGGAAGCGCTGCGTCAGGTGCATGGCGGTTGATAGGCCTATGATGCCTCCGCCGGCAATTGCGACATCGTACTGCTGGCGTTCCATGACTACGTTCTCCACGATTGGTTGAGGATGACTAATGAGACCTGCCGACACTGGTAAAGGGTAGTTGGGTCAAGGCAAACGGTCAAGGAATCAGCGAACCCCCCGTGCTATACTCTACCCGCGCGGCGGATTCCGCCGTTCGCTTGTCGCTGAGCATTGGAGGAGAGATGCACTTCGGGATTTTCATGGAATTTGGCAGCCGCTCTGGTTTGTCGGAGGCAGAGTCCTTCCAAGAGGGATTCCGTCTGGTAGACGCCGCTGAGGAAATGGGGCTCGATGGCGTCTGGCTGGCTGAACTGCATTTCAACCCTACACGTTCGGTGCTGTCTGCTCCGGTAATCGTCGGCAGCTCCATCGCGACTCGCACACAGAAGCTTCGTCTAGGCATGGCGGTGCATGTCCTGCCCCTGAACAACCCGCTCCGGATCGCTGAGGAGATTGCCACCCTCGATCAGATCAGTGAAGGACGGTTCGAGTTCGGTATCGGACGGAGCGGATTCGCCCGGTCCTACGATCTCTATGGCATTCCCTACGTCGAGAGCAGGGACCGTTTCCGAGAGGCATTGAACATCATTTTGGAAGCTTGGAAGGGAGAGCCGTTCTCCTACGACGGAGAGTTCTACACCTTCGAGGGGGCCAATGTATGGCCGCGGCCATACCAGCAGCCCCACCCGCCGCTGCGCATCGCTGCGACGACCGCCGAGACCTTTCCTCGCCTCGGACGTGAAGGCCACCGGATATTCGTCGGCCTGCGAGGAATGGACATACCCGAGCTAAAGGGGTGCCTAAAAAACTACCGCAAAGCGTGGCATGAGGCCGGACACGAGGGCAATGGGGACGTCTCGTTACGCATACCTGTCTACGCCGGAGATACAGAGAAACAGGCGCTGGATGGGCCCCATGACAGCATAAACGCCTACTTCAACAGAATGGGGTCTCTTTTGCGAGACTCCGCTTCAAGCCGTGCCGGTTCAGACGCCAGCTCTCGGCAGGGGCGCGCGGACCGGCTTGCCACCATGACCTACGAAGAAATGCTCCAAACGAAGGTGGCTTTTGGCACCGGTGAGAGACTGATAGACAGATTCGCCGAGCTTCGGGAGGAGTTGGGACTGGACGGGATTGTGTCGGAGTTGAACGCCGGCGGCCTAATCCCCGAGGAAGGCGTAAGCCGTAGCTTGAGAATTATAACGGGCCAAGTGATGCCCCACTTCAAGTAATTCAGACCCGTGGAGGGCGCACGCTGGTGCGCCCTCTCAGTTTTGGAAAAGAGGACCCTGCAATGAGAATAGCAGTGCTGGACGATTACCAGAGCGTCGCGGAGAGCCTAGCCGATTGGTCGCAACTCCCGACCGGGACCCAAGTCGAATTTTTCAGTGGCCACTTGACCAGCGAAGACGCCCTGGCCAGTCGCCTCGCCGACTTCGACGTAGTGATGGGAATGCGAGAACGCACTCCGTTCCCTCGCGCGCTGCTGGAACGGCTGCCCAGATTGCGCCTGCTGGTAACCACAGGCAGGCGGAACGCGTCATTTGACATTGATGCGGCCACCGACTTGGGCATCGCGGTTTGCGGCACAGACGGAGCCGGCGAGGGCCCCGCCGAGCTAACCTGGGGCCTGATTCTCGGCATAGTTCGGCAGATCCCGCTTGAGGACCGCCTTTCTCGCGAGGGCAAGTGGGGTACCACCGTTGGGGTTGGCCTGAAGGGAAAGACAATCGGGCTGCTGGGCTTGGGCCACATTGGCTCCCTGGTGGCGCGGGTTGCCAACGCCTTCGACATGAACGTCATTGCCTGGAGCCAGAACCTCACTGCCGCAAGAGCCACGGAGTGCGGGGCGACGTTGGGTGGGAAAGGACGCGCTCTTTCGGGATTCCGACATCTTGTCCGTCCACCTTGTGCTCAGTCAGCGCACGAGAGACCTCGTAGGTGCGACCGAACTGGCACTCATGAAGCCCACTTCATACCTCGTCAATATCTCTAGGGGCCCCATAGTAAATGAAGTGGCGCTGGTGGACGCCCTTCATCGTAGGGCTATCGCCGGCGCGGCTCTGGACACCTTCGATGTCGAGCCACTGCCCGAAAACCACCCGCTGCTGCAACTCGACAACACCCTCATCTGTCCACATCTCGGATACGTTACCGACGATTCCTACAGGGCAATGTACGCCGGGGTCATCGAGGATATTCGCGCCTTCGCGAGTGGCGAACCGGTCCGCGTTATCAACGAGCCGGTGCTCAATACCACCCAGTTTCGGGGATTCCAGTAGCCAAGGGATTTAGCCTTGCCTCTTTTTGTGTCCCTTTCTACGAAACGGGGTTAGCGGGAAATTCTTGGAATATAAGCTCCAGAAGACTTGATGCAAGCCTGAAACACCAGGAGATTCACTGAAATGAAAGCAGTACGCATCCACGAATTCGGCGGCCTCGACGTGCTCAATTGGGAGGACGCTCCCGATCCGGAACCTCGGCCTCATCAGGTGCTAATAAAGGTAGACGCCGCCGGCGTGAACTACGCCGACCTGATGCGCCGTGGAGGCAACTACCCCGGCCCTGACCTGCCTTCCTCCCTGGGCCTGGAAGCGGCAGGTACGGTGCTGGAGGTTGGATCGGAGGTTACCGGCCTCTCCGTGGGTCAGAGAGTGATGGCCATGGGCCCAGGTGGTCAGGCCGAAATGGTAGCGGTCAACGGAAACTTTGTCTTCCCTTATCCCGAAACCCTCGACCCGGTGCAGGCCGGCGGAATGCCCATTGTGTTTCTGACTGCATATCACCTCCTGAAGACGCGAGGCCATCTTGACCCCGGCCATACAGTTCTGATCCAGGCCGGAGCGTCGGGCGTTGGCACCGTGGCCATCCAGTTGGCCAAGGCTTGGGGTGCCCGTGTAGTGGTGACTGCATCCACCCAGGAGAAACTAGACTTGTGCCGCTCCCTGGGAGCAGATGAGACAATCAACTACACCCAGCAGGACTTTGAAGAAGTCATCAAGGAGCAGACCGGCGGCAATGGGGTCGAGCTGATCCTGGAGTGCGTGGGCGGTCCTGTGCTCGAGAAGAGCCTCCGTTGCGTGGCGTCCTACGGCCGAATGATCACCTACGGAAATGCCTCCGGAACCCCTGCCAGCCTGCCAGCGGGCGAGATATTCGCTGCGAACCGTACCGTGATTGGTTTCAGCATCGGACGCTCTCCCGTGGGAACACTTGACCACCAGGCGGCCATGGACGAGATATTTCCCTTGATGTCTGAAGGTAAGGTGCGCCTGATTGTCGATCAGGTCCTTCCGATGTCCGAGGTCGGCACGGCTCACCAGCACTTGGCTGACCGTGGTACCAGGGGCAAAGTCATCCTGACGCCGTAATCTCTTCCCGTTCTGGAAGCTCTTGCTGGGAAGACTCAAAAATGACCTCGGCGGTCAGAGGAGGGGATGGTGCGGGTGTTGATTGGTAACGCCGCTAGCCGAGTCGCAGTCTTGGCAGTACTGCTGATACTCGTCGGGTTTGTGGCCTGCGGTGGGGGAGCCGAGGAGAGTGAGTCTCTCACCATGGGCGCTATGGATGAGTCCGCAATGGTAGAGGCTGCGTCGGACTCTTTTTCGTTGTCGCAAACGGATGAGAGGGAGGTCTCCGAGGCGCTGGAGGATTCTGCTGAGGAGGAGGGCTCTGAGGGAGCATCTGCAAGTTTCTTCCAGAGCTCCCCGCTGACAGACGAGGCTCAAACAGGGGTTCAACCCAAGAACAGGGTCATCGTTCGTACAGTTGATATGGGCATCATCGTTCCGGATGTACCAGAGGCTGCAGACGAAATCGTTGCAGTGGCCGGCCGGGTTGGCGGCTGGCAGGTCAGTTCAGACCGCAGCCAGAGGCATCACGCGACCGTCTCCGTGAGGGTACCGGCCGAGGTCCTCGATGAATTCATCCTGTCAATCAGGAAAATGGCAGACCTTGTGGAATTCGAGACATCCAGCAGCCGCGACGTCACAGACGAATACGTCGACAACGAGGCCCGCCTCAGCGGGCTGCGGGCCACCGAGGAGCGGCTGCTGGAATTCCTGGGACAATCCGCCAAAGTAGACGACGCCCTGAAAGTCCAGGCGGAGCTGACCAGGATCCAGCTTGAGATAGAGACGATCCAGGGCAGACTCCGATTCCTCTCTCAGACCTCTGCTTTTTCCCTCGTCAACCTGTCTCTTACCACCAAGCCCGGCGAAATGGATGTTGAGATCGGACCGGACGCAGCGACCTACCGAGCCGGATTGAGCGCCGGTTTCCGCGCCACCTTTAGCCCCCCGGATGGGGTGGACGAATTTACCTTCACCTGGGACTTTGGCGACGGGGCCGAGCCGATTCAGGGCAACCGCACAGCCCCTACCACCGAGGTGGGCGAGCGAGTTACATCTACCGTCTCCCATGCTTTCCTGGATGTTGAGCAGTCGCCATACATCGTTCATCTGAACGTCAGGGGGATCGGAGATGCAGGGCTGTTTCTGGGTTCGGACACGCTCATCGCCACGGTAACGGAGATCCCCGCGATCGAGGTATTCGCCGGAGAGGACCGGGTTGTGGACGAGGGCGACAATGTGGATTACAGCGGCTCCTTTACCCGCCCCGAGGAACTTTGGGACTTCCAATATCGATGGGACTTCGGCGACGGCACCGCAACAGTGCTGGACGTTCCAGCCGAGGGCGACACTCGGGCGATGTCTGAACACACGTTTCGGGATTACCGGCTCGAGCCATATCGCGTTACGCTGATTGTCAGTGCGCAGAGCGAAGCCGGGGAGGTCAAGGGCAGCAGTTCCTTCTTTGTCCAGGTCAACGACGTTGAGGGGTTTGTTGTCGGTGGATGGGATGTGGGTGGCACGGCTAAATCAGCGGTAAGGGCTCTGACGGCCGTAGCCCAAGTCCTCGTCATTGTGTTGATATGGCTGGGAATCCTGAGCCCCGTCTGGTTGGCGATCCTGGCTGCTGTGATCCTGTTCCCGCGACTCCGGAGGCGTTTCTCTGGCGGAAGCTGGCCTGCCCCCCGAGTACTGCGCCGCCGTGGACAGGACGTTGATGAAGCGGAAACCACGGGCGACACGGCTCGCGATGGGACTTCCGCCGTGCCCCAAGCCGAGACGGAAGGCAGTCCGCTGGCCTTCGCTGAGCCCGCCACTGGCGCCGTGGTCTGTGACCAGTGCGGCAGGGAGATCCCCGGAAATGATCCCATTGGCAACCCTCCCAAGTATTGTCCGTTCTGTGGCGCTGATACAGATTTCGTCCGAACGCTGAGCGGTTCCAGGCACGCGTCCCACCGCCAGCAACTGGTTGCGAGGTGAGTTATGTCCCGTTCTCGAGAGCTATTCCGGGAGGTGATCTCCCGTCCCCATTGCACCCTGGCCGCCAACATCTTCGACCCTCTGTCAGCTCGCATCGCCCATATGCTGGGTTACGAGATATGCGTGCTGTCCGGATCGGTGGGCAAGGTGGCCAACCTGGGAGTGCCTGATATTGTGCTGTCCAACATGTCCGATGTGGTGGACCATTGCCGCCGCATCACCCGCATTTCTGACGTTTCGCTGATGGTGGACGCCGAGGACGGATTCGGCAATGCCGTGAATGTCGTCCGCACCGTCCGGGAAATGGAGGCGGCGGGCGTGGCCGCGATTGAGGTTGAGGACAATTTTGTGCCCCGTCAGTTCAATGTGGCCGATCCGGGCCTTGTGTCCACGGAGGAGCAGGTGGGCAAGCTGGAGGCGGCGGTAGCGGCCCGCACCGACCCAACGACTGTCATCGTCGCCCGCTCCGCCGCCCTGGGCCTGTGCCCGCTGGATGAGGCCCTTGAGCGCATCAATGCCTACTCCCAGACCGGTGCTGAGGCCTTGATGCTCACCGGCTCCAGCAGCCGGGAACAGCTGGAGGCCGTTCACGAGGTGACGTCGCTCCCCCCTGTGCGTGCTGAGCCCGCCCGCCGACGCCCGCAACGACCAGGCATTCCTCGACGCCAACGGCGTGCGCATCCTGATGCTGGGTAACCCCACCTACGCCGTTGCGGTCAAGGCCATCTACGACAGCCTCAGCCATCTGAAGGACGGCGGCGCGATGGAGGATCTCTCCGACCGTCTGGCCTCACCGGGACTGCTCCGACAGGTCAACCGCACCGAGGAGTTCATCGCCCTGCAGGAGCGCTATTTGCGTCAATGAACCACTGCACGCATCCATGATTTCCCTTAAACCATATGGGCGGTCTTAGACCGCCCATATGGTCTATTTCTTGTGGGTGGAATCCTAGCCCTGCAAGAACGTCAGGACGTGGGAGGCGTACTCCTGGGGCTTTTCGAAGGGGACCCAGTGGCCGCAGTTGTTCAGCAGGACGAGGCGTGAGTCCTCGAGGTTATTGAGCGCGCCGATGCCGATCTCGAAGACGCACATTCTGTCATACCGGCCCCAGATGATCAGGCTGGGAGCAGCAATGTTGGGCAGGTCGACTCCATGGTCGTAGGGAACGCTGACTGAGTCGGCATCGGCCTTGATGTGGTCGGGATTGCCGGTGTAGTTGTTGTAGATGTAATCCACCAGATCATCGGTGACCAGATCGTTGTCGTCGATATGGGTTCGCAGGTAGCGGCGCACAATTTCCCGCGTGGGATTAGCGCGCACCTCTCGGGTGACGACGCTGCCCTCCGATGGCCGGTTGCCCATCAGATACAGGTCGCCGCCGGTGCGGATGTGGCAGGCGCCGAAAACCAGCTTGTTCACCCGATGGGGGTCATGAGCTGCCAGCACCATGGCGGACTGCCCGCCCTGAGAGTTGCCGACCAGGTGCGCCTTATCGATTCCCAGCGCGTCCATAAGGCCTACGGCGGTTCGGGCCTGCAGGTTGTGCAAAGGCTCGTTGTAGACGACCGGCCCGGTGCGACCAAAGTTGGGCAGGTCCATCACGATGCAGCGATAGTGTTGCGAGAAGGCGGGCAGCACCTTGTGGAATGTGATCCAGCCGGTGGTGCCGGGGCCGTAGGAGTGCAGTGCATGACCACCGGGTCGCCCTCGCCGACGTCGTGGTAGTGCACCGGCATGTCGCCGACCATCGCGGTGCGGCTGGTTGATTCCTCGGTGAAAGAGGGTGTGGTCATATCTGCTACTCCCAGGCAGTTCATTTCTCGACGGAAACTGTCTGAATCAGGATCGCCTTTGGGTGGGTGGGGTCCAAGGTGTTGTTGGTGCACCGCCCTGGTTCGCCCGAGTATGTGTTCAATACTGCTTTTGTACGGTCAGGGGGGGACATTGCTGGCCGTCCCATGTTCCTGAGTGGCCATATAGTGGTCTTTATCATGGACACTTGTGGCCACGGGCTGGCTGTGGAGCTGGGACTTGGTCCCTGGGTGTGGCCCCCGATACGTCCGAAACAAGACTGGACGCCCCCCTGCGCCCCCCCAGCCCCCCCCCCCTTCGCGTGGGCGAAGCGTCCGCGTCTGAGCGTCCAGCACCGGGTCTGTAGGCAGATATCGGCGTCCGATCAGCTGAAATGCCCTCGTGCCTTGCGACGCGGCCAGTTCGGCGGGATGCGGCGCATTGTCTATTCCAGTGCGCGCCTTTGTCCTGCCAATGAAACGGTCGAGCGTTTCTCCAGAAAGCAAGTCTAGACCCCTCGTTTCTCGATCCTGCTTAAAGTTGGTCATTATGGTTTGGGCGCTGCTCAGGCGAAGGCTACGCGAGGAGAAGGCGGGGGCGGTTGGGTCCGCTATCTGGGTCCCTTATTCGCTTCCGCTTAATAGGAGTCTGCCTCCGTGTGGCCCGCCACCAGAGCTGTATTTCTTCTGTCTTCATTTCATCGGCCGTAGGTAACTCCCCTCGCCTTGAGGGGGGGTGGGTCGGGTTGGCGCTTCCTTCTTCCTGGGTTTGGCGGGCCTGCTTGGAGTAGGAGACCGGGACGGGGCTGCTTGGGGAGGGCGATCAATGGAAGTGTAACGTGTTGACCCAGTAGGAACCAACATTGGGCGGGTCCATGGAGTGTGGTGCCCGACGCCGATGCGGTGCTAGGCGGGCGGACGGAGATTGCCGCCGTCAGGTCTCGTACCGGCGCAGCTCGGCACGACATGTTGGAACGAGCCGCCGCCGCCGCGGACCTGTCTAGCGCCGCCAGGCGCAACAGCCCAGCTGAAGTCGCGGCCGTGTCGGAGTGGCCCGAAGCCGATCTCCGAATCGACGCGGAAGGCCGCCCCCGGCCGCAGTGCCGTAACCGAACTTGATGTGTCCAGCATTTGCAGACCCTCAGCAGGTCGGCGGTGTCCTGACGCTTGCCTCGCGCGCGGAGCTCGCGTCCGAGCCCCGCCAGCGGGTCCACGCGCGCGAGCAGAGCATCCGACGCGCCGAGGCTGGATGCGCCGCACCGTCTGGGTGAGCGCTAAGCGGCGGTCCGCCGACTGCGAGGGAGGCGTCGGATCCACGAGGGCGAGCGAACAGGAGAAAGCAGCCGCGCTCGCGGACGACCACGCAGCGATCGTGCGTCGAGACAGGCCTAGCCGACGCAGCTCTGCGCTCAGCCCGATGCTCGGACTCTACGGAACGCGACCAGAGGGTGCGCTGCGCCGCCGCACGAAATCGATGCCGCAACACGTCTGCGGGCGTCGCCGCCGTCATGGCGCACGACGCGTCTCTAGACCGACGGCCATTGGCAGTCAGCTGGCCACCGCCGCTGACGGCCTGACCGCAGCGACCTTCCAGGCCGAGGCGCAGACGGGTCCACGATGGCCCGGGCTGCGGCCAGGTTGCCGCCGTCCGGTCCGCGGGCCGCGTCGGACGCGGTCTGCACGATCAGCGCGTCGGTCTTGGCGGTCAGAGTGAGGCCGTCCTCGGCGCCATCCAGCAGGCTTCCGCGCAGCCCGGCCGCCGCCATGCGCAGGCCCAGATCGCGCGCGGACCGTGGCGCCGTCCTTGTCCGTCCCCGGCTTCTTCGGCGTTACGGAAAGCTCGCCCGTGCCGTAGCCGGCGGCGCCCCATGCGTCCACCCGCTCGGAGAGCGCAAGGCGCCCCCAAGGATAGAGGCCCGTCAACGTGGCTTCCACCCGGCCCTTGCTGTGGCCGACGTAGCCGCCCTCGCCGGCGCTGCGCGAGACGATCAGACCGACGGTCCAGTCCTCGCGGGCCCAGTCGACGCTACCATGGCGCTCGAGACCTCGCCGTCGAGCGTGAGGTCGCCCTCGCGGCCGTCGAAGCGGGTAAACGGCGCCCCGTCCCCACAGGGAGACATGCTCGTTCCGCCCGGCTTCCGCGGTGACTGCGAAGGAGGTGCCGCTCAGCAGTTCGCCCTGCGTCACGCCGCGCGACGTGAGTGACCTGGGGCCGTCGCGGTCGGGCCAGGCCGGATCGCTCTCGCCCCTGAGCCAGTCGGACAAGCCCGCGGTCTCGTTCGAAGCACGGGCCGGACTTGCCCGCCACCGACCCGTTGGCCGGCGAGCGTCATCTCGATGCCGGGCTGCCGCGCTGCCCGCATCCGGCTCTCGACCGCGTCCAGCACCTGCTCGGCCACCGTGCGCCCGAAACGCCCCAGCCAAGCCTTCGGGATCGGTCCCGTATTCTTGATGACGCCGAGCCCCGAAGCATCATCGATGCGCGCGCCCTGCGCGTTCGACAGGAAGAGTCGCATAGTCTCGAAGCTCTCGTCGTGGTCGTCGGCGAGCACCTCCACCTCGACAGTCTTCAGGGTCTCGCCGGGCTCGAAGGTCAGCGTGCCGCTCGTGGCCACATAGTCTTCCCCCGCGACCGCCTTGGGCTCGTTGACCGGGTCGTCACCGGTCCGGTAATCCACTGTCACCGGGGCTTCGCTGTGGGGCGACAGGCTGACCTTGAAGGCGAGCTTCGCGCCCGGTGCCTCCCGCACCGAGGCCCCGTGGACCCGGAGACCCGCCTCGCCCAGCGGCAGCCCGGTGTCGATCACCGGCACCGTGGCCTCCAGCGGCCCTTCGGCCAGGTACCAGGCCCGATAGTCGCCAAGTGGGGAGGGTCAGATGGAAGCCCGCGTCGGTCCCGGTCAGCCGTATCGTCAGTGTGCGCGACGCGTCGGCGACGCCGTCCCCGACCGGCGTCACGGTGCGCGTCGAGACCCGCACGCCAGGCTCGTTCGCCGCCCCGTGATCGAAGTCGAACTGCCGACGGCCGGGCCCGTTCACCGCGTAGTGGAACGATGGCTTTTCGTGCGGCAGGGCGCTGTCGGCCACGCCGACCCCGGCCACCGCCACCTCCTCGAAGCCGCCGTTGCGGACCACCCGGATCTCGATGGGCTCGCCCTCGCGCGCCGAGCCGGACACCTCGAGCCGCATGGCGTGCAACCCGCCACGCACACGGTGTTCGGCGAAGTGCTGCGCCGGCAGGGTCTGTGACACGAAGTTACTGCCCTGGGTGTCGCGGATCGTGCCGCCGTTGAGGTCGAGGAACCTGAACTCCAGCCCGTCCGGGTCGTTGTCGCCCTTCTCCACCGTCCAGGTGAAGGTCAGCTGCCGCGAGCCCGAGCCGCCGGTGTAGCGCGCCCGGCGCTCGCGATCGAAGATATCGAGCACCAGCTCGGGCGCGCCGGTCACGGTCACCTCGGTGTCGAGGTTGAGCGTGAAGGTCAGCGTGGCGCCCCTTCCGTGCACCGTGTCGTCCGGCAGGGCGAGGAAGTCGTCCTTGATGTAGTAGGGGCCGTGGTCGGCGCTTGCCGCCGGCGGAACCGGCGTAATCTCGATCCGCCCAACCGCCGGGCCATCGTTGGCGGTGATCGTGACGGGTACCGTGCAGACATCGTCCGCACACGCGCTCCCATCGGTATTGCGCGGCCGGATCCTCTGCGGCGAAAAATCAGGATCGGGCCGGAGCCGCAACTCGACGGTCTCGTCGGCTTCCGTCACGTCGTCGTCAACGATCGTTAGCGAGACCTCTTTGCGCGCCTCCCAAACGCCGCCCGTGGCAGTGAAGTCGTCGGGGCCGAAGACGACATTGGTCAGCAGAACTTCGTAGTCGTCGCCAACCGTCGCCGTGCCCGATGTGTGGTCCGAAAAGACCCGCATCGGGAACGTGTCGTCGGGCGGGGGCACGTCGGGCGCGGTGCGGGCGACGAATGCGATGGTTGCCTCGCCGACGCCCTCGGCGAAGCGGTAGGCGGCCCGCTCCGGCCGCACCGTGACCGCCGGGTCCGCCACGACCATCCGAACCGTTGCCGACCCAGG